TCAATCGTTATTCCTCTTTTTTTTTTTTTTTTTTTTACACCAAGTAACTATTATATAATATATATGCTATTTTTTTACATTTATATGATATGTTTTGAGATTTCAGAATAAATAAACTACTATTATTGTTTAAAATTGGTTTTTTCGATAAAAATTCTCATCAAGTTAATTTTTATTCTTATTTTTTATATGATTTTATTTATTAATAAATATGACTTATTTTCTCTATATACGGATTCGAATAAGTTTTTTTATACCTTTTTTTCTTTGCCTTTTTCCATCAATTTATGTTCTTTTGTATTTAATTAGGTGTTAAAAATTTTAAAAAATCAATCGTTATTCTTTTTTTTTTTTTTTAACACAAAGTGACTATTATATAATATATATGATATTTTTTACATTTATATGATATGTTTTAAGATTTTAGAATAAATAAACTACTAGTATTGTTTAAAATTGATTTTTTTTTTATAAAAATTCTCATCAAGTTAATTTTAATTTTTAATTTTTATATAATTTTATTTATTAATAAATATGACTTATTTTCTCTTTGTACAGATTCGAATAAGTTTTTTTTTTTTAATATCTTTTGTTTTATTTTTTTAATTCTCATATAATCAAATTTTAAAAATTGAATATATGTATTTTATTTTCTTATTTTTTATATAATCAAAGTTTATCGAAATCAGTTTTATAGTTTTTACAATACTCTATTAATTTCAATATACGTTTTGCTATTTAATTTTTTTAAAATATTTTTTAGTTTATTTTATATGTTCTCACTTATAAAATATGATCATGATGTATACAAATAATAATATTATAATCATTGATTTTATTATAAATTAACTATGCATCTAATATTAGAGTCATTGATTTTATTAGAAATCAATAATGCATCTACGCATACAATACCAACTACTTGCTATTATTTTTTTAATATTTAAAATGATTTTTTTCAAATAAAATAATTAAAATAATATTTTAGAATAATTGCCTAATAATTCAAATACAATTTTGTAAACTAATATTATTCATTATTTTGTAAATAAATATATATAAATTAAATGTATATATTTAAAAAAACAATTTTCTCATTAGTAAAAAATTTCATTTTTTAATTTTCATACAAGTTTTTATGTTAATTTTTGCTTTATTTTTTTGATGCAATGTAATGAAAAAAAATAGTAAGATGTTTTTTTTTTTATAAATTTTATATTAAAATTTGTTTATTATGGGTTTTCATATATATATATACACACACACACACACACACACACACACACACACTATATTTTTATATTTTAAAATTAACATATAATTCAGCTTATATTACTCTTATAATTTAAATTTCATTATTTGAATTTATCATTTCTTATGAAAATTCTCATCCAATTAATATTTTTTATATAAGATTTTATTTACTGATAAATATAATTTATTTTTCTCAATATTTGAATTTTAGAATAAAATTTAAAAATATGATTTTTTTCTTTTTTAAAAATAAATTGGTATAATATATGTCATGAATTCTTACAATTTTTAAATGATAGTTGTATATATATAAATATATAATTATTTTATTCAAAAAGGTTAAAAATTTATTTCAAATAATTTATCTTAGTTCACTAGATATGGTGAAGACATATAAAAAAACTACCGAATCTTTGATTTTATTTAAAATTAACTATATATCTTCAAACACAATGCAAATTATTTACCATGAATATTTTTTTAACATTATAGAACCAATTTATTTGAAATAAAACAATTAAAATAATGTTTTAAAGGAACTAACTAATTATTCAAATATAGTTTTTTATGCTAATTGTATTGATTATTTTGTAAATAAATAAATATAGATCTAATGCATATACTTAAAAAAATAATATTCTCACCAATATTAAATAAAAATAAAAATTTATTTTTTTATTCGTTAATTTTTATGCAAGTCTATACATTAATTGTAACTTTATTTTTTTAATACATTTTTATAAAAATATATAGTTTTAAAATATTTTCTTTTGAATTCTTAATTAATATTTAAGGTTTAAATTTTTACAAGTTTTTATTTAAGAATTTCTAAATAAAAAAGAATAAATCATTTTTTTAAGCAGAAATTTTATGAAAACACAAAAAAATTTTTAATAATTAAATAAAAAATTAATGAAAAAATTATAAATTTTTTAAATAATTTTGTTCTCTCTACCCATAGCCTTGCGTAGATAATTTCAAAAATTAATCTTCTCATCAACATTAAATAAGATTTTTTTCTCATTTGTTAAATTTTTGTAAAAGTCTATCCATTAATTATAACTTTATTTTTTAGAATAAAATATTAGAAAAATTATATTTTAAAAATTTTTTAATTCTTGATTAATATTTTAGTTAAAATTATTATATTTTTTATTTTAAAATCAATCCATGAAGAGAATGATTTATTTTTTTAATCAAAAAAATTATTTTAAAAAATTAAGTGAATAAAAAATTATAATTAAAAAAATTTAAAAATTTAAAATAATTTTTTTCTACTGGACTCGCAGCGTAGCGCGGCAAGTAACTAGTAACAACCTATAATAACTATGGACAAAAATAATTAATGTTTCCAGTCGAAAATATTTGTGTTATCAAAATATATTAAAATAATAATAATGATAATAACATTTTTAGCATGTTATTGCACCGGCTATTTTGTTGTTCCACTTGATAAATAAAATAATTACTTAAATAAAATTTAATTTTCTCTTTTGTTTTAATTGATTTCTTTTCTCTAATTTCTTGAATTGGGGGAATCTTCCTTTCGGTTTCATGCATTACTTTAGTATATGATCCTCCTTTGTCCAATTAAAGATTGTACTTGACTGATCTAGAAGCAAAATGAGGTCATCTAAACTTATGAAGCTGAGTGATTAGTCACTAATTAAGCTTATGAGAAAGTAACCTTTTATTCCTTTTCCCTTTTGGTTCCAAGGTGGTAAGAATTCGATTTGGAACTCATAAAAACTTTTTTCCCCCTTTTCTACTAAACTAGACATCTATTGTTTGGTTGTTTGCTTTTAAAAAATTGGGTTTATTTATAGCTTATTATATACTACACTTTTTTTCTTCTAAAAAAATCATCCACTTTTCTATTAATATATGTCTCAAAATAATCCAAGAGGAATGACTTGAATGAAAAAAATTTCAGTAGTTTAAACAATTAGTCTTAATTTTAGATTTTTATATCCGTAAAATTTTTTTTAGGTAATTGTGCCCACATTGTGCGTCCGTCCAAATAATAAAAGATTAGTCCGAACTTCGATCTTGTAATGTTATAAGTATATATATGTCTCAAAATAATTGTTTTGTCAGAAATTAAATAATACATTTTAAAAAAAATTTAATTAAAGTTCATTTTGTAAAGGATTGTCTAAATACAATTAAAAAAAAAAACTTTTGAAAAACATGAAAAAAAATACAGATATTACATAATAATTAATAACACTTTTAATTTGTGTGAAAAATCAAAAGGAACAATTTTTTTAAAACAGAAAGAGAAAGTTTCGCACTTATATCACGACTAAGGTTTAGAGTCTTACGTATATATCTCTCCAAATTTCTTTTTTTAAAAAAATAGTGGCGAGATTCGAACCCGAAATCTATAGAACGAATGAATCTTTTTTATGGCCCAAGCCAACTCTAAAGGGGCAGAATTTATGGTTAGTGTTGTTTCAAAAGAGGCATGACACATGACACCTAATCCTTTTTCTACCTATAGCGACAGCAAGCATAAAGGAGAGAATGACATCGCCCATTATAAAATCAGAAGGCCGCCTTGAATCATTTAATCGGCTCTTCTACCATGATAAGCCAAAAAAAATACTAAACCTTTGCAGAGCTCATTTTCCCTAATAAGATAAAAAATTGGCCCTTCGAGGCATGAAGACCAAAGATGGGACTTTCTAGTTTCTACAGCTGAAATCGTGGACCATGTTGAGCCAAGGGAAACATAAATAAGGATCCAAAGGATGAACTGAATTCTTTCGGACAAGGTAGAAAATATGGCCTAATGCTGAAAATTGAATTCTATTATCCATCGAGTTCAGATTTAACCTATCTGTAAAACAAATTCAATTCAACATGCTCCTAAACTACGCCTGTCACAGATTTCACAAGGAATCTGATTTGAGCAAAAAGGTAAACTAGGTTCTGTATTGGATCTGATAACAGATCTCTGATAGCTCTTACAGTTGAGAAATAGAACATCGGTACAACAACAACCGATTGAATTCCAGTCACTTTCAAAACCAATCAAACAAGCTTATGAAGAGAAGAACAAAACAAGTAGGTAATCAATCAAGAATCTCTGTTTAAAAAGAAAAAAAACAGATAATCAATCAATATGGATCATCTCCATACACACAGAGATTCACAATTTCAGAATTCGTGCTGGAATAATAGATAATGGTTGCTAGGAAATGAGCATTCAGAAGCTTCTCTTTCTAACAACAAATTAACTATTTGTTCAGTTAAAACAATATTTGTGAGTATCTATTTCAAAGGAAGATGGAATATATACCCTGACAAAGGGAAGCAATAAGGCAGGCAAGATTTAACAATCAAGTCAACAGTTATCGAGGCGTCTGATGGTTAGAACATCACAACCAAAAGAAAGGCACTCAATAATGTCCTATGGAGTACCAATGACCGTAGAGTTGACGAATATGTAATGCTTTCAATATATGAAAAACACATAGCCTATGCATTGATCAAATGCAGGCATGCAGCCCCTTACAATCTTGTATATATGTTGTTGGAAGAAATCGTTTGCATTTTAAAACCAACTACCTGCAAACAAAATCGAAAATGGTTAGCTCCCTTTTATTTGGTGCATATGTGGGGCAAAAACCAGAAACTCATTTCCATTCCAAAAAAGGAAGTAGATGACATCTTGCATCAAAATCCAGTAGGAAACTTTAAGGCAAGCAAAAACATCCGCACAAGTTCAAAGGAGCAATTGCTTATCCTCTACCATAATGGTTTTCCTCACCAGACATTATAGTAGACACAGAACCAACTAGCAAACTGGGACCCAGCAACAAGGGCCACTCATTATCCACTTTGGACAATAATTCTCTTGTCTCCAAAGCACATATGTAAATCAAACCAAAGCAAATTCTTCCTATCAAACACATCATGCATTGCCCATCTGCTACGCCCATGGCTAGGAGTCTAATGACGGAAGTTTGAAAGTCAGCAATTCCCATCTTTGGGTCAAAAATATCACAAACTTAATTACTAATTCTTGCCAGCAAAAAATCAGCAAGCAGAAAATAGAACATGAGCTTTTTACATTTGGAAACATCAAGTTTGCTAAAAATCACTGATTCTGAATCCAATGATACACACCACCAGACATGCATTTGGTGGTACATTTGAGACAGGTTCATATGCCTCATGGCTGACATTGCAATTTAAAACCACCAGAGATACCTTTGAGGGCACTTTAATAAAACACCCACTCATGATAGTACCTGAAAAAGGATAGTCACTCTCAGCAGTAAAACAACTGAAGTGAATGTATAATCATCCAATGAAGAAGCAATACTATCATTACCCCATTCAAAATGCAAAAGGTCATATTTAACGACATAAGTTCACCTAGTAGTTGTATTGTATTCTTCCAGAATATATCTAAGAGCTCCGACAGATCTACTGTTTGTCTGATAAAAAGTGCTACAAGAAACCATAACTCAACTGTCCTATCAATTTAGGCTAGCGTTCAAGTACTGAATTAAAACAGAAAATATTCGTCACTATCTTAATAAGAGTATGGTATTTTACCATAATTTCAAACATCATAGCAATCTGGCAGCTCTTTAAAGATAACTGAAAAAACCCATAGCATGTAGAAAAAGGGATCAAAAACTCATTTCCAAAAACACCAGTTTAAAGAAACCTTCAAAAAACACAAACCTTTAGTAGACAACAACTAGCATATATTCAAGTATATCTCATAAACATGCATCTTACCTACATTTCCATCAAACTGAAAGTTCATACTATTAAACATACAATGGATGCATTTAGCTATTCACACTTCTTCTCATTACATAACAAGCACAAAAAAGTGTTTTCCATTGGAACTGCTGACTGGCCAGAAAAGATATCCAACTTCTCCATACAACCAGAATTTAACATCACGCAGACCAGGCCAGAAAACACATGTTTACTTTCACACTTAGCAACACAACATTTCCACAAAGCGAATCACAGTAAACAACAAACATGGCACGAATCAATAACAATATCGGCATCAATTTTATAATCCAAAGCATAAACTAAAGAGCTAAACCCTAAACAGGTAACCATGAACTAAAAAAGATTCTAAAAGAATCAAGAAATTAACCAAACCAGTAAGCCTAAGTTAACTAAAATCCAATCTCAAAGTCACTAAAAGCTCAATTAGTGGACTAACCAATCACAATTAGTAAAAAACTAACCTTGTTTTTAATCCTTCTCAATGTTTCTTACTTCTCTGAGGCTGTTTCTCAGTGGCTAACCTATAAATCCAGTAAGCCTAACAAACAAACAAAGAACACACCCCATGAAAGAAAATCAAAGATAAGCCACCAAAGCAATGTTCTAGAAAAGATTAAAGAAATTAAGTGACAAATAGAGTTAGTTACCAAAGCAAGAACATGGACTGCAGCGAGGAGAACAACCAAGAGAGGCACTAAATCGAGAAACCATGGACGTGGCATTGTGTCTTTCGCCATTTTTGAGGGAGATTGAGAATGTGAAGAACAGGGCTTTGCAGGGGTTGATCGAGAAAGCTTGAAGAAGAAAACTGGGAGCTTGACGGGGTTTTGTTTCGTCGACACAGAGATTGAGTTGGGCTGGAGTTTAATATCAGCCATGGCCTTGTAAATAGCCCAATAAAAAATTGGACCTCCTATTTCTCATATTAGGTACTTTAACAAGGATATTTTTAAGGTTTAAGAAAAACATAGGTCCCAAATAATTAAAAAAAAATGCACAAAAAAATATACTTCAAAATTTAAAAATATCTAATAATTTATTTGTTGAGCAGAGTATGAGAAAATCTTTCACGTTCAGAAAAGACTTGGTTCGGGTCCCTAGTTCTATAATCAAAATAAAATTTAATTAATTATTGTTTAATCTCAATAAGTAAAAATAAATTCGAAAATACTTTTATTATAGAGAAAATTTAGCAACGTTTGGGACGTTTGGTACGAGGATGTTCAAGATTATTTTTGAAAAAGTAATTTGAGATGTCAAATAATTTTGTGTTTGATAATTCAAAAATATCGAATTTTTGGAAATTTCAAATGTATTAGAACATTGGATTGTTTTCAAAGATGGAAATGTGATCTTCTTCTAAAATGATGGGAATTTGAGATGCCAAGGCATTCCATATTTATTTTACTTAAATATTCTTTTTCTTTTGTATTAAATTGACTAACACACCCTTATTTTTTACTAATAATAACAAAAATAATTTAGGTAATTAATTTATATATATTTGTTAGAAAATTATTTTGAACGCTTGATATATGTTTTGTTAAGTTTAATCTAATGCAAATGCATACGTTATGTAATTTTTTAGTAGATCTATTATTTTGTTTGGTAGTTATAATTATCTATAATTAAATTTATTTTATTTTAATTTTAAACCTAAGCAATGCATGTCTTAATATTAAAAAAACACACATATCTTATATTCAAATTAGATTCTTCAATTTTTAAGAGTAAAATGGCAGAATTATTATTATTTTTTTTGTATTTTTCGTGTATTTTCAGGGTTGAATCAAACATAATAATCACCCATTATTATAAAATTTTATTTTCAATTAAATACAAAGATTACATTCTCGACAATAATATACCAAACGTCCATAAATTGAATTTGGATGGGACAAAATCAAGAATTTGAATTGGGCTAGCAATGAGATCCAAAGTAATGGGCCTTTAATTCCTCACCCAAATCAAAATTTGAGCGGAGAATTGGTCCAATCCAGATTTCCACAACCGTATTTCGGTGTTCCCTACAGCTGCCAAATAGCCCAAACGTGTCAGCTCCTGAATTGCAAAGGAAAAACCTCATGCCCTTTCTCTTTCCCCGTCATCATATGCAACATTCTCTAACCACTTGTCATCATCGTTTAAGCATTTTAGCAAACACTAACAGTGCAAACTCTCTCTTTCTGATGCCTTCCTTCTCTTTTACTCATTTTTCATGAGATCTCATCTCGTCCAATGAGGAATGCCTTTGTCTATCTCAAGCGTCACCGCCAAATCTCTCTTCTATCCAATGGCAGCACCTCCATTAGTCTTCGAAATTTCACTTCACAGGGCAGTCAATTTCAGCATCCGAAATGGTAATTGAGTTTTAATTTAAAGAGAATTTGAACATTTTTTTGTTATAATTTTTTAGTATTTTAATCATTTTTTTTTGTTCTGTAGGTTTTCTACGGCGTATTCGAGTGTACACGGCGGAAGGCCGTCGGCGGAGTATGCGAAATTGAGGAAAGAATCACTGGAAAGTGAATTTGGACAAGCTCTTAGTTCTAGTTCTAAAAAAACTTCGATTCTTTATCGATTCGGCCCGCTTTTAGCTTTGTATAGGGCAACTATTATTTCATTTCATGTTTTGAAACTAACCGCCTGGGAGTTGTTCGTTCACGATATTAAAAAGCGTGCCGTTAAGGTATATTTGTGGTTTATGCCTTTATTTTATGCTTCAAATGTAATAAATTAGGATGCGAGTTTGATTAGTGTATTTTTTTTTTCAATTTTAATTATGTGAAAAATAGTGAAATTTATTGCAACTCAGTTATGATTTCTTGCAGTTTCGTGAAACTTTGATCGACTTGGGACCTTTCTACATCAAGGCAAGTGCCATTCTTGTGAAATTTATGCTGCCTTGTGAAGTTATCATGCTAAATGCCACTGGAAATGCCATCAGTTTGTTTTCCATTCTCAGCCGCGTTGGAAAAAAATGTTATTGTTTAATTGGAGAAGTTGGCAAGTTACTTTACGTAGCAAGTTACTTGATCGTCTAGGTGATAGCATCTAGTGGTCGTTCTATCATATGTGGATGTGAAACTTTGGATCATTATCTGCATGGTGCATCGAATGGAATGAGGCGTAAATCTTAATAATAATTGCGGCATAATTGTTTCTGTAGTTTTGGATTTAGTTTTGAGGATTGAAGAACTAAACATCATAAAATATTTTAACTGGATAGAATTGCTTTCTTATTCAATCCATTTGAATTTACAGCTTGGACAGGCTCTGAGCACTAGACCAGATATCTTGCCGACTGTGTATTGTCACGAGCTTGCTAAGTTACAGGTATAGCCTCCTTCTTCCACAAGTGACTCCAGTAGTGGTTTGAATGATCTGAGGCTCTTCTAGGCAGACTTTTGCTTTGCCTAAATCTGAATATTACTTCAGTTTTAGTAGAAACTGATTGTTTGGTGTCGGTAGATGTGGTACAACATAGAATTTTGAGACCATGGCAGTAAGAACAGGAATTGCAGCAGTGTGAGCAATTACCGATGACACATTCTATTTCTCATGTTCTTCGAAAGCAGAATTGTACAGCTGATAGATTAGCTAATTATGCTTACACGCATCTAGATAAAATGCATTTTGACAATTTTGTGGATCTTCTTTTAGATGTTCAGATAGCTTGTAAGCACGATAGGCTTGGTATCACTTAGACTTTACAGATGGATATTTTGTAAGTGCTTTTTTACTTATTTTCTTGGTATTACAGTTCTAGTCCTTCTCTTCTTTCTAGGATCAAATACCAACATTTCCAACTCATGTTGCAATTGAATCAATTGAATCCCAGTTGGGTCGCCCTGTTAAACAAATTTTTGCTGACATTAGTCCAAAGCCTATTGCTGCAGCGTCTTTGGGACAGGTGTATAAAGGTTAGATGATCTCTTCTGTTGAGTGGGAAGATTGCATGCCATATTTTAATTGTATAAAATATCAATCTACCTTTGTAATTATGAGGAGTATCCTGGGTGTTTGGGGAAGGATCAAAATAAACTAAATGTTTCCACTTGTTGTTTCAAGTATTGCAGCTCATCTGCATTCTGGTGAACTTGTAGCTGTTAAAGTGCAGAGGCCTGGTATGCATCTTTTATTGACCCTTGATGCCTTGTTATTCCACATGGTTGGTGGCCAATTAAAGCGTTTTGCAAAGGCTCGCAAGGATCTATTAGTAGCCGTGAATGAGATGGTGAGCTTTCTATAAGTTTAGTTTATTATTTTGCTGGTTGTGCTACCAGTGATCTTAATGTACACGAGATATGCGAAAAAGTTAAATAGAAGTACCACATGCATACTATACTCATGAATTCAGAGAAACAATTTTGGATTTAGCTTAAAATTCATCTCGCTGAACTAGTTTTTGTGAACCATGAAAAAATATTAATTTTTATTTGCCAGTTAAAAGGGCTTCACATTCTATTAGTCATTATGAAAGCAACCACTTCACTCTGTGGGATGTTAGCTAGCATAACTGGTTAAGTTGGTCACTTGGAATGGAAGAAGGTGGTGACCTAGGATCAAATCTTGCTCCCACTAAGGATCAGAGGAATTAAGCTATCCCTGCTGTGTAGTTTGAATCCCGGAGGCCTCCCAATGAACCAAAAAAATTGTTTTTGTTGTTCTTGAATTCAATGAAGATCAGGAATAGGGAGCTTGATACATGGGATATCCTTGCTGTGTGGTTTGAATCCTGAAGGCCTCCCAATGAACCAAAAAAATTGTGTTTGTTGTTCTTGAATTCAATGAAAGATCAGGACTAGGGAGCTTGGTACATGAGATTAAAAATCTTTCTAGAAAAGAAGTTTTGAGAATTCCTTTGGTATGTTATCAAAAAAAGTTTTAGTTTCAGTACTACGGTAGTTCTATGTGTCGTTGGATAGAGTTAGCTAATGACCTGCTTGAGGTCAGGTGTTGGGAGGCGTACTACCGATACAATATTTCCTTTTTCTCCACCCTAGTCGTTCCATAACGTTGAGTAAAAGGTTTGTCTCAGACTTAGATTACCAAGATTTGCTATTCTTAATTGATATGACAAGAGGAAATCATCAACAAGAGGGGCTTAATTTTCACTGCACAGAAGAAAAAGGAAGTTGAGGAGCAGCCACCTTCTCGCTACCTCTCTCTCACTCATGTGCACACAAACAGGAACACATCTGAGCAGATGCTCAGGCATGCTTGCTGATGTACGAGCACACTCACAAATTAATGCAAATTGCTGGGAATTCTATTCATGCTTATGTATCCTCTCAGTTTTCTTTTCATGCACAGCATCTTCCATTCTTCTTAATGAGTTCGTACATGCTTATGGATATCCTCAGGTCTATCTTGAATGAACAGGTCAGGCACATGTTTGATGAAATTGATTACATCCTGGAGGGGAAAATGCTGAACGCTTTGCTTCTCTATATGGTGATGACCCATGCTTGTTCTCTCACTCTTACTACCCATGTGTAAATGATTAAGTTGACAAAGGCCATTAGTATGTCCTGTATGACATTCAGTTTTCTGTTTGAATCCCAAAGTCTTTAACCCTTGTTATAATGCATTTGGATCGGTCCACTGGTGAGGCATCTTCTTCGTTACTAAGTTTAAATATACTATCAAGCATCAAATCCATAAAAGCTTTCCTATATTTCATGTTTTGGAAGTTAAATTTGAATCCTGAAAAATCATTGATCAACCACAGTATCTGAGCAGGTTGCACCTATAACTCTTGTTCTGCACCTTTTAAGCTGAATTCGGCAAACTCATTAGTCACTTATGGTGCCTGAGGAGGTTAATCCTCCCCCGTCCCTTTTTTTTTATGTCAGTTAGTGTCACTGTGTGTTGGCCATTGTGATATGTATCCCATGATTCTCAGCTGGTGATCTGGTAATTTTCTCAAAAAATATAAATTCAGATTGCTGGATTCTGCTTGTTTTCATCAGGTGATGGTCCAAAAAGTCATCAAAATGCTACAATTGGTAATTTTGTGAAAAACGAGAAAGAAAATTGCATCAAAGTTCCTAAAATATATTGGGAATTCACTCGCAAGGCTGTTCTTACAATGGAATGGATAGATGGAATCAAACTAACCGATCAAGCTATGCTGGAGCGGGCTTGTTTGAACAGAAGGAAACTGGTCGATCTGGTAAGCTATACTAATTTTTTCTCTCGACAGTTAATGATCATCCTGAGTTTCCTTGTCTGTCTTATATTTAAAATTAGTCATGCCTTTCAGATCGTGGATTAGTAGATAAATTATTAATCGTTATTTTGGTTTGATAGGGATTATACTGCTCTTTGAGGCAATTGCTTGAGGTTGGCTTTTTCCATGCCGATCCTCATCCAGGAAACCTTGTTGCTATTGACCGTGGCTCTTTAGCATATTTTGACTTTGGAATGATGGGGGATATTCCACGCCATTACCGTGTGGGACTTATTCAAGTGGTAATGACTTTGATTTGTAATCTGCTTGTATACCAACTCTAGCCTTTTGTTATGCATGCAGACCTTTTACTAATCAAAACTGTTTTTAAGTATTCTTGTATGACAATCTATTAGTTATATAAATATTTCCAGTCTGGATAATTTTTTATGAAATTCAAATGTCAATTTTGTTCCTTGTCACAGTCAAATTTTAACATGACTTGTCATTTCAAGTGATTGGCTTATCATGATATCATTTTTGTTATCTAAACTACCGTTAATCTACTTCATGTAATGCTGAAGCTGTCATGGCTTGAGAATCCATGTACTTCTTTGCATTTTATTTTGCTGATGATCCTGTTGTTGATGAATGCTCATTTGCAATTTACTTGTCTTTGATGTATTGTATTTATGCGGATGATGATAAATGCTTCTGTGCAATTTGCTTTAGAATTTGAGATTTTGCATTTGTTGATGCATTTGCATTTCTTTCAGCTTGTGCACTTTGTTAATCGTGACTCTCTGGGTTTGGCAAATGACTTTCTTTCTTTGGGATTTATTCCTGAAGGGGTTGACGTACAATCAGTTTCAGATGCACTGCAAGCATCCTTTGGTGATGGGACAAGACAATCTCGAGATTTTGAGGTTTGCACCAGCAGTCCATGTTCCCTTGTACACACACAGACACACACAAAAACGTTTCATGTAAAGTTGTATGATGCTGAAGTATTGTATATTGAGCCTCTTGGCCTAATGGAATTTGAGAATTTGCTATGCCTCTAATCTCTGTTCCTTTTCTCCTGCAAAGCTCATCACCTTTTCTCTTGATATCAGGCCATAATGAACCAACTCTATGATGTTATGTACGAATTCAACTTCTCTCTTCCCCCAGACTATGCACTGGTGATAAGAGCACTTGGATCACTCGAAGGCACGGCAAAAGTTCTGGACCCTAACTTCAAAGTTGTTGAAAAAGCATATCCCTTTGTAATAGGGAGGCTATTGGCAGACCCGAATCCTGATATGAGAAGAATTTTGAGAGAACTTCTCATCCGCAATGATGGATCTATAAGATGGAATCGGCTAGAGCGGCTGGTAGTTTATTTCTCCTTTTGCTTCTTTATATAGATTTTTTTCAAAAAGCACTCACAACATGACAGATTTTTAATACCATAGCGCTTGCATTGATTCTCTTATAGGTGCAAGATATTCCTGACACATTTTTTATCTTTTCTTTTATTTCAATAATGCTTTCAAATGTTGATTATAATATGGAATTTAATTTGGTTAATCAAATTAATGTATCTCCACTCTGAGCGATCTCTTAAAGTCATTTCTGTCTTGTTCTAGGGGGAAGCAATATCTGAACAAGCTTCAGACTCAAGTGAAGAGTCCCCTAATTCTGAAGAAAATTCTTCAGATCCTTTGGGATGGAAATCATTTGATATGCGTTCTGTTGTTAATGCCACAGAAGATCTTTTGCTATTCATTCTATCTGAAAAGGGTAGCAGGGTGCGCGTTTTCCTTCTCCGTGATATAATTAAAGCAGCAGATGATTTTCTGCAGGACGAATTTGGTTGCACTTTAAATGGGAAACCTGAAGCAAGAGAGCCATCAGACTCTGAGGTCTGTTAAAATTCACTTTATTGCTCTTATATTACAATTTGGCTATTGATAGCTTAGAGAACTCCTGTTACTGTAGACCCTAGAGTTAATTTTACAGAATGCAGGTTTCAACTCTCTTGCAAATAAACTACATCTAACTCTAGAAAGTTTAAATTCCTTTGCCCTTCAGTTCTTTGGGGTTAAACTTAGAATTCCAATCCTTGGTTAATAATACAAACACATGCAGTCATGACACACACAGAGAATGTTGCGAAAACAAAAAGAAAAGCAAAAGAACTTTGTATCCAATTTGTCATGTTTAGAGAGGTTGCTGACGGTATATTATTTGCTTTAACCTCAACTTTGCAGGGACATGCGATGGACACGAGGGTTGCCAAGGGGTTTCACTATCTACGTCAAGCAGTAAAGCTGGCCCCAGAGTTGTGGACAGCAATGCTCATACGCATGGCATTAAAGCCCGAGGTTCATAGGTTTTCTGTTGACATTATTTCAGCCTTAATTACGCATCTTAGTCATAAACTTCCTGAAACTTCTTGGATTTGTATGTCTAGTCTTCTCCACAAGATGGTGAGAAACCTAAGATATGATGACCTATAACATCTGATTCAACCAATCTATCATTTCTTTATGATCATTATGTCTCTTATGTTTCTCAAAGTGCATATACATGATTAAGAATGAACCCACCCTCACAGAGCTCGCTGGTTTTGACGGTGAACAGGCATGGAGATATCTGATATTCCATGCTTGCCGCTGTCGGTGAGGTTGGTGATGAGCGTTGACTAGGGGAATGGATTTGCACATGGCAAAACCATTCTAATATTTTCTTCTTTCTCTATCAATCAAAAGGGGTGTGAAGAGAGAAGTAATTCAGAAAAGAAACTCCTAGATCTTATTTATTGCAATATGATATGTCTCACTCTTGCCATCCATTTTCCTTGATGCTAGGGAACTTTAATAACCCAATTAACAACCCTATTTGATTAGAATAAGCTAATTATGTTGCCATTTGGCAAGGTTCAACAGGTTTGTTAGTCACTTTAAATTTTTTTAGGAATAAGCTCATTGGAAAATGACACTGTGGGATCATTCTTTGTCTCTACTCATTTGGATTTATGAATGAATTAAGATTAAGTTAGGTCTCAAATTATTAATCAAATCACATAAATTAATTAATGGAAGAAGCAATGTATGGGAACATAGTTAGGTGCGTGTATGATTGGAATCAGGCAAAAGACTGGTGTCACCTTTTTATCATGCAAGTTTGCAGTAAGTTATAAATTAGTCCCTCTTGTTTTGAGAAATGAATTAATTGGTCTTTTTTTATTTTTAAAACTAATAATTTAGTCTCTATGTTGTTAAATCTACTTGTAACTTGGTTTTTTATGCTCTTTTGTTGAGAAATAGAAAAAAATATGAGAAAATATGGAGAGAGTGATGAGAAAAGAAGACATTTTGTAAAATAAAAATAATATTAAATTAAACATAATTAACTGGTCAAAGGATTAAATAATAATTTTTAAAATAAGGAGTATTAATTAATTTTTTTAAAAAACTAGAGAGATTGATTTATAATTTACTCTGCAAATTGGTGCGCACTTTCTTCACTCTGTTTTATTTAACATGCGACTTAAACCAGGATTAATTAATAAATAAATCATGCCACTAAATATTAAGCTGTCTTTCTTTTCTCCTTTTGTGCTAGATGCAGCCACTCGAAATTCAAGCAAATCGATACTTGAACTAGAATCATCCCTTCTTAGCTTTTAATTTACTGCTAAGTGACCTCTTTGTTTGTTTGTTAATTTTAACTCTAAGCTACAAACTTAAAAAAGGAGAAAATTTCTCAAAGTAGTCTTCCACATCAGCCAAATATTTTTGAAAAAATTTATAATAGTGAGAGAGTAATTAATAACACGAAGATGTAAAATTAAGAAAAATAAACTTAAATAAAAATATTTTTATCATTTTTTATGTATCTGGATTTGAAAATTCTTAATCGGATTCTATATTTATAAAAGTGAAAGAATAATTAATAACGCAAAGATGTAAAATTATGAAAAATAAACCTAAATAAATTTTTTTTATCATTTTTAATGTATCTGGATCTAAAAAATAAAAAGTTATATTGATTTGATTAAAATCATGATTTGATTCTCGTTAATTCATGAATAATTAACTACAATTATTCGTCAGTGGTATTAAATTTTTGTCTAATTTGATTTAAAAAATAAGTTAGTAATTGATGAAAAATTAGATGTATTTTAATATTAATTTAATTTAAAAAATAGTAAAAAAAGCTTGAACATGAAGATAGTTCCGTTGCTTATTATCTATTTTTTGTCACCTTAATCAATAATTTTTTCACCACAATGTAATTGTAGAATTGTAAAAATAGTAACGGTGATTACCCGATGCTTTAACTAAATAATAATCTGAATCAATCATTTTTCTCACTTGAGTGTAAATGTAGAATTGGTAAAAACAGTACAGATTATATAAAAAAGTCAACTTATCATTATGTGAATGAATTAATAGATCCCAACAACTCTAAATAAAGTATTGTATTTATTTTATCCAATCCAAATGGGCAAACGCAAACGCTCTAAGAAAAAGAAGAATAAAACTCAGCTGTAACTCAGCATCCGATACAAAAACTTACACCATCACATGCATGGATGACACGTGTAAAGTCAATAAGATAAAAGCCAATCTTAGCTTAGCAATTTTGGCATTGACTTAGTCTTATGTTTTCCTCACGCAACGGCTACGCGCACGAATCTCTTTGTTTTTAGTATGAACTGGAAAAACAAACAAAACTACCCTCCCCCTTTTCACGCTAACTAAATTTCATTTTTTTTAAAAAAAAATTAATTTCTTTTTCAAAATTTTGATCCATCTGTCCCTCTTTCTCTCTCTCTCTCTGTCTTCTCTTTTTTTCTTCTCTCTGGAAAAAAAAAAAAACTGAAACACACTCTCTCTCTCTCTATCTCTCTCTGTGGTCGTTTTGTGATTTCATGCCTTTAAGCTTTTCAATTTCTTTTCATGGCATTTTGTTTCTCTTCTTTCTCTCAGGTTCTCTCTCTTTGTCTCTCGATTAATTTGTTTTTTTTTTTTTGTTGTTTCTATTTTTGATCAATGAATTTTTTTTTTTTTTAGATTTAGCTATCAGTGCAAATTTTATTGAATTTCTATTTTTGAAATGTAATTTGTGATGTTTTTGAGTCCTTTTTTCAGATTGGATGTAATTTTAATTAATTAACCAATTTGAAACTAGATGAGTCTTTTGTCGTTGTAATTTTTCTAATTTTGAACTTGTAATTCGTGAGGATTTTGAGTTTTTTTTTTTTTTTTGAAGATTTAATGTAATAATTAATTAACCAATTTGAAACTAAATGAGTTTTCTTTTTGTAATTTTCAATTTTTGAACTTGTCATGCGTGAGGATTTTGAGTCTATTTTTTTTTTAAAAAAAATTAATGTACTTTGATTAATCAACCAGTCAATTCAATGATAATTGAACTAGATGATTTTTTTTAAAAAAAATTATGTTATTGAACATCGAATTTGTGAGTATTTTAATGTAAGGTCAATCAATGTAACTTAGGTTTAATTTTGTTGAGTTTTAAGTTTTTTTATTTAATTTGTGATTTTTTTGGTTTGGTTTGCAGGTTAAGCTCCTGAATTGGAAATGATTCAATAATTGTAGAGATTAGGAAGATCAAATCATAACAAACTATATTATCAAGGAAACTTATTAATTTCGTCATAGCTGTTGTTGTTTGTGTAATTGTGATTAAAGAGAGAAGTGTGTAGTAAATCTGTTTAAGGAATGGGGTATTTGAATTCAGTTTTATCATCTTCAAGCCAAGTTTATGCTGATGATGCACCTGTAAGCGGTGGTGGTCTCAGGTTATTATTAATAATCTCTTTAATGTCTTTGTTAGATCTGTAATATAAAAAGTTTGGATTACTGCAATCAATGTTGAATTGTATGTAATTTGCAAGTATTTTGTTGTTTATTACATGGGTTTTGCTTTGTTTTCTTTCTTTTTTTTTCTTGTTGATTGATATTTGATTGTATTTGGAAGTATGTTATATATTCTGGATATTAAATTTTTCTTTATGATCATTTATTCATGTCCAATTGTGAAATTTTTGTTAAATCACAATGCAAATACGAATCTCCATGAATTTGGAAAGGTTCATCATATTTTCCGTTAAGATTTTGTTATTTTGTTGATATTACAGCTGCTTGATTATTCTCTGTGATTCTTTTGCATGTCGTTTTCTATGTATTGGGAACGTGCACATTGAGAGAAATGCAACCTAAATATCAGTTTTGTCGTGTTCGATATGCAACCTTGCCTTGAAAGAAGTATGCTAAAAACTCTTGATCCCCTCTTTGATGGATCTGACTTCATTAGATTTGTCGTGTTGGATATGCCAGTGTCATCCTTGGTGGAATGCGTTTTTATGTTCTTGCTTACTTCTGGACCTAACTTCTTGAAGCCGACAAGACATGTTTTATGAACTGTCTAATGAATTATCACTTCACATGGTTTTGACTACTTGGTCTCAGACTTGTGATTTAACATTGTGAATGGATGGAATCACTATGCTTTAAAATTTCTAGATGATTACCAGGAAAAATAGAACTTTTAACTCGAGTATTATTGAACTTCTGTAACCAGCATTTCTTGTTACTCGCCCATGTGATTTTTGTTTAACATTAACCAAGAAATGTTACGTTCATTCATGCAATTTTTGATGTATTACATAATTCTTAGGATCTCAGATTGCATCTCTCAAAGATTTCTTCTTTTTTTCTTCCTCTGCTCGAAGATCTTGTAAGCTCATGAGATTTGTCTGGCACTGATTTTCAATATTTTCTGCAACAGTCAGAATGGAAAATTCAGTTATGGATATGCAAGCTCTCCAGGGAAAAGAGCTTCCATGGAAGACTTTTATGAGACAAGAATTGATGGTGTTGCTGGAGAGATAGTTGGTCTTTTTGGAGTTTTCGATGGTATCGCTTCGCTCATTTACTCTGCTTTTTTCATGTAGACATATATGTCAAGGTTACTTTTGCAGGATACTGTAATGCAATAGAGATACGACGAGGGGAACTTTCCACTAAATGCATAACACAGTGACATTAGTTTGATTAGTAACTATATGTGAATCCCCCTTGGCACTATTATAAGTAATTGTTGGTGCGTGAGGGTTATTAATATGCAAGCTTGCTGTTTGATGTTATTCTCCATAAGTGCCCTTTGCAACTTCTTGGGTTCATTTTCTCCTTTATATACCAGACAGTGCATTATTTTCTGTCACTGACATGTTGTATCCTCAACTAAAGTAGTCATTGGAGGAAATTAAATTATCATTATTAGACCATATGCTGAATATGTGATATATTCTAATAAAGGAACGTGATTGAAAGGACTTTTTGCAGATTTTGGGTATACAATTATAAGCTCCACTGTGGTTGTGGTACTTGAAGCCATCTGCCAAATGCCATTGTTGGCTGGAAATGGCAGATCTAGTATGGTTGATTGTGAATTTTGTGCTGAGGTGGTCTATACCACTTTGTTGTACTGTTATTTGTTTGGGTCAATAATTAACCATGCCCTTTTTGTTTGTAGTGTTGTTAGCTAGTTGAAAAGAAATATGATCGTATCGTATCTTTTGCAATAATTTGCCTTTTCAAATTTATGAGCCAATAACGAAGCAAACTTTTTCTGGTATCGTTTTTCAGGTCATGGAGGTGCACGAGCTGCTGAATATGTGAAACATAACCTTTTTAGCAATCTGATCAAGCATCCAAAGTTTATTTCTGACACCAAATCAGCTATAGGTATCTCATTGCTTTAGTGCCAATGTTGTTTAATGTTTAAATTCCTCATTCGAGGAACCTGATGTTTAATTTTGAATTGTTTTCTCTCTCTGCAGCTGATGCATACAATCACACAGACTCCGAATTTCTGAAATCCGAAAATAATCAGAACAGGGATGCTGGATCAACTGCTTCTACAGCAATTCTTGTTGGTGATCGTTTGCTTGTCGCTAATGTTGGAGATTCCAGAGCTGTCATATGCCGGGGTGGTAATGGTGAGACTCAGAATAATTGTATAACCATTTGCAACTTCTAGGATCCTTTTCATTTTTTCAACATGTGATGCATTTTATGAAATCAGTACCACCAGTTTGCTTTCCTTTTTTTTTTTTTTTTGTTGTTGTTGTTTAAGTTGACTGCTTCCCGGAATTCTGAACACAAGATTCAATTTATAGCCATGGGAAGCTGTCTAAAAAAATGATATAGAATAAGTCTATGCTGATGTTGTCAAGAAATAGCAAGAATATTACGGAAGCAGAAGTGGTGGCTGAAACAGAATTTTAGTTATATGAGTAGGTATCACTTCACTCGTGATTGGGAAGCCTTAAGAGAAATCAATGTGTAACCTTCAAAACAGAGAAAATTGTTATTTGAAATTTGGATTTAAATCTGTGAGCTGTAATTTTAGTCCCAGAGGTGATTTTTTTTTTTTTGGAGAACAATTAATGCAAAAGACCTGCCAATTGTAAAGTTATATCTCTTGTGTTTGATTATTGAAGGCAGAAAAGTTTATACTATGATAATATTTAATTTAAAAAGTTCAAGAAATTTTGTATTGACCTGTCAAAGTGGTACAGTGACAATGGGCTAATACAGATAGAAAGAAAACCAGATGCTCTGGGATGAAGCATTAGATAATTTTTTTTTCTGATTGCTGTCTTGTTAAATGTTTAGTTGTTACATAATTAAGTCACTGAAGTATCTTGCCATTTTGTTCAGCTATTGCCGTGTCCCGAGATCACAAGCCAGACCAGACTGATGAACGGCAACGGATTGAAGATGCTGGAGGATTTGTCATGTGGGCAGGTAAGGACTTCACGTGGTCTTCCTTTTGTTTTATTTACTTATTGAAAGCTTTTTGGTGATAAATTTCTTGAGATGGCTGAAATCATAATGACAGGCACTTGGAGAGTTGGTGGTGTCCTAGCTGTCTCTCGTGCATTTGGTGATAGGCTCTTGAAGCAGTATGTTGTTGCTGATCCAGAAATCCAGGTCTGATTCTTAATCTATTCAAAAGAGCAACTGATATAGGAATAAATGGTTGACGATATTCAAATTAAGATACCTTAATATGATAAATCTTTCAAAATTTGGATGTCATTACTCATGAGCAAATTCCACTTGCAGTCAGATGTATACAGGTATGCCTTTTGGAGATGGTCTTTCATCTGTTAAATGCATGAATATTCATGAGCATTGCTCAGTGTTGCATTTTAGAGTACTTGAGCCTTGTGTTGCTTTTTAATTACTTTGAACCATCATTAAAATAAAAATCTGGCACCATTGTGACCCTGAGCCTTGTGCTTTTATGCTTTCCATCTTTACTTTAGAGTATGTTCTAGCGATTTACAATCTCATGGAAATTGTAGGAGGAAAAGGTCGACAGCTCCCTGGAGTTTCTTATCCTTGCAAGTGATGGATTATGGGATGTTGTCACAAACGAGGTTTGTCATGACATCTTTTAGTTTTCCTTATGCTTTCACAGTAAAGAGGGTGATTCGATTCCCTTGTCTATGTCTTTGCTGTATTTTTTCTTGCAAATGATCTGGTGGAAATTGGCATATTGATGCTTTTTAGGGAAGTTTTTTGCTTATGAAAATAATTACATATTGTGGTTTTTTGTTGTCATCATCACCATCTGATGCTTCATCCTTTCCTCAGGAAGCTGTTGAGATGATCAGGCCAATCGCAGATCCAGAGCAGGCAGCAAAGAGGTTGTTGCACGAGGCATACCAGCGAGGTAGTGCAGATAACATCACCTGTGTTGTCGTCCGTTTCTTGGACAATCAAGGCGCTACATCTCGCAGTGGCTCTGTGTAAGCATGCAGAACTGGTGCTATGCTAGGTTTTTATTCTTATCCAAGCAAAGAAATGAACCAGCATTAAATCCTGTGGTGCAAAGCTGATCAGGAAACATGATACTAGCAGCATCATATATTTTGTAAGGATAGAACGATGAAAGAAGTCAATGGGCTACCAATGCATATTACATGTTTCAGCTTCTAGAATAGAATTGTATCTGACTTTAGCTTACGAGCTTGGGTCTCGAGGTAGCTAGAACTGTGCGATTGTGAATCTGTAGAGTCTGGAGACTATGTTCCATCCATTTCATTGTTCTGTTGTAAATGTGGTTCAATGCTTCGTTTTCTCTCTTGCTAATTCATCTCCTTCTACCTGAGATCTTCTGAGTGTTCTGGTTTTGCTCTGCTGCCAGTCTGAAGCCTCCAGCTCTTTCTCGGTTAGATCACCATCTTGAGCCTGTTGTTAGTTGTTAAATCATAAATGAGTTTCTGCTATTGAAAAAGCTCTTGCCAAAAAGACGCCTCTTCCTCTGGCCCCGGAAAATCAGTGTAATACTAGGATCTCAACTGATGGGAATGAGAATGAAGTTTGGAAACTGAAAAATAACTTGTTAATATACTTAATTAAGGATGCATATTTAATTAACTTGTTTTTGCCATATGCTGCTAGTTTTACGAGCGACAAATAGGACTCAGAACAGCAACAAAGCAGGCTCGGCAAGGCAAAGTTTTGCCATTACGTCCGGCGAGCGAAGTGATCATCATCATCCTCTTTTAAATATTGCTAACAACAACAGCTATAAATGTAAAAGAAAAGAATAGAAATTGGTTGAAAAAACAAAGAATTGAAGGAGAAACTCTCTCCCGGTAAGGCGTATACACAAATAAATCAGCAACAGGGACAAACATTTTAACTGGACAATGCCTACAGGTTTTTTCTATGCATTTCTTTTGCCTTGATGACCAAGGGCAAGAACAAGTTGCCAAAAAGACTGGTCAGTGGTCAGGAAACGATAAATGCTATGGCTTGCTTGCCAAGGCTTTTGGATAATTTGAAGAAAAAAAATATTAGTGCTTTTACTTATATACGAAACAAAGCTAGAAAGTGGAAGAACAAGACATTTGCTTTTGAATCATGTTATGATGTTTCATGATTCATACTTCTGTGTAGCAATGGGCCTTAATCAGTTTGTCCATAGTATTAGGGTTTGGTGGTTGTGAGCCCAGATCAATTTTCGAACTTTGTTCAATGACCCTGTACGGTAGTACTAGTGGAATAAATAACCTCATATATGCAAGTGCATGGTTTACTTGATTGTCAGGCTGCCATGAATTGTTGACTACGCTCATGTGTTGGGTACTTTGGAGGTTAGTATTCCTCCTTTACAAATTGGTTGTCGCTTATTTTCTCTATATGTACATTTCAGAAGTGTAATCAAGCTGCTATGCTTTGTTGGGCTATATGAAAGAGAGGAATGATGGTATGTGGAAGGGTAAGTTTATGTCAACAGAGGCCATTGTACAGCTGAGTAGCTCAGCTCTTCAGGATTGGTGTAATGGCCAAGCTCGAAAGGTGGTTCAGAGGTGTGACTTCTTGCGGCAATCTCCTCACAACCCCAAGTGGCAAAAACCACGTGCTGGCTGGGTTAAAGCAAATACAGATGCTGCTATTTTTGACAGGGATAATAAGTTCAGTGGCTGCAAGATCTCGTACTTTTGTGGGTTTGGTGGATCGAAAAGCTGCTGAAGTCATGGGTGTGCGAGAAGCCCTTAGCTGGTTGAAAGGGTTGCAGGTTTCTAATGTTGTGATTGAGGCTGATGCTCAAGTGGTGATTAATTCTATTAATAGCCAAGAGGATTACGGATCAAGCTTTGGTTTGTTGGTTGATGATTGTTCATTTAAGGAGTGCTTTCCTAATTTGATTTTTAGCTTCGTTAAAAGATCAGCGAATCAGGTGGCTCATAAGTTAGTTAAATCATCTTTTTCTTTGCCTGATCTGGTGAATTGGGTTCCTATCCCTCTGCAGTTTCTGATGCAATGCTTGGATTTTGATTTTTATCAGTAATGAAGTTTTCTAGTTCAAAAAGAAAAAAAAAAAAAAAAACAACAACAAAGCAAACTATTTGTAGACGGGCTAAAACATCCCTTTACTGTTTTAATTTATTTAATGTGGTTCCTATACTTTTTTTTATTCATCATCTCCTTCTATTCTTGAATTTTTTTTAACGTGGCCCTTCAGACGATTTTCCAATCAATTTTTTTTATTGAAATTGACACACGGCATAAAAAATCCGCATGATATGCCATGTCATATTAATTTTTCATGTAGAAATTTTTTAAAAAAATTAGGTGAAAAATAGAAATTTAAAAGATAAAAAATATTAAATAATAATTTTGTCCTCCTTTTTCTCAATCGAATATATGGACTTTATTTTGTTTTTGTTTGAGCATTTTGAATTTTTTAAAACTATTAATCAAGTATTTTTTTTTATCAATTTTTCTGTTAACTAATGACGTATTTGTTACCTCCAGAATACTAAATTACATATTTTTTTTAATCGAGCATATAAACTTTAATTTTTTTATTTGAATATACAAATTTTTTCAAAAGTGACAATCAACTACCGTCATCGGTTTTTTCATTAATCGAAGACATGTTCATTGGACCTTAGAATACCAAATTAAATTTTTTTCCTCTTTTTTTTTCTCAATCAAATACATAGATTTTAAGTTTTTTCATTTGAATACATTGACTTTTTTGAAACTTTCAATTAAGCACTTCTCTTATTTTTTCATTGACCAATGATGTGTTCGTTAACTCTAGAATACAAAATTACTATTTTGCTTTTTTTTTTTTTTTATTAGAGAAAACTTTCCTTCCAAATGCTCACAAGCAATGAATTTTCTTCTCACGTTTGTGTTTTTCTTCAACTTTTACATCTAAACCTAACTAATTGTTTTTTTTAACAACAAATCTAACTAAGTTTAGTTCGGAGTTTATAGTTAAAAAATAATATATTTTTTAATTTTTTCAAAATTTGAAATGCGAGGATTAATTTGAGAGGAAATTTTCCTCTAACAAAAAAGGGATACAATTATATTTTAATATTTTAGGAGTAACAAACACTTCATCAATTAACGGAAAATTTGACGAAAATACTAGATTGTTAGTTTTGAAAAAAATAAAGATATTAGAATTATGTACTCGATTGAAAAAAAATTATAATTTAATATTCGAAGATAACGAGATACATTATTACTTGATAGAGAAATTGATAGAAGTATTTGATATATATATATATTCAAACAAAAAAATCCATATAATGGATTAAAACAAATTAAAAATTAATGTATTTATAATATAATTATCTTATATTTATGCGGATAAAACAAGGCAAGAATAAACTTTTAACTCCCGAAAAACCCAATACACCCTATTCTAACTATTTCACTGTCAAGACAAGAGAAATAATTGCTGCCCTTTAATCATCAATTTGGCCGCAACTTAGAAGAAAGTAATTGGCGGCTCTGACTTTGGTATCCCTTGTCCCGGCAATTAGGCATATTTTATTTTCTATCCTTGTACTATCTTATATTATTCATTTCAATCCTTCTATCTAAATACGATACAAAATAAATCTTACAATACTAAATGTTGGAACAAACAAAATTTTCTATTCAATGTCTTACCAATTATATGATAACACGTATTGATTCGTTCCAATATTCAATTGCACGTAGTTTATTTTATATAATATTAAATAGTATAAGAATATGAGTAAATTTCACCTCTCAACAATATTCAATATATCTTTACGCACGCAAACGCACAAAATAGATCGGCCGAACTTCCTTTCGCAAATAGACAAAAAAGGCCGACAGAAATTCCTTTTGCAAATAAGAGCAACCACGTGACCGTAAAGTAATAAAATCACTTTGCATACATGGGATTTCTTATTTTGAGGAATTATTTCTTACCTCGAACTGAACAATTTTCAAGCTAAAATTCTCGATCGAGAGAGAGAGAGTTCCAATCCCTAACCCTATCTTTAATCCAAAGTCTTGTTGGTAATCATTTTATTATAATTGGAAGCATGTATAATTGTTGCATGCACAGTCTTTGCTTATTTGACCACCACGATTAGTTTTCCATAGTTTAGAACTGGCCATACCTGGATATGGTGGCAAATGATAATTTGACTCACTCATTCAAGCACAAAGGCAGTCCAAAGTCATTGAATCTAGATTTTCCATCTCTGAAATCAAGAAAATTTCTTCTTCCCCGTGATAGGTTCTCACACTGTCTCTATTGCCTGAACCATATTTGACCTCCAACTTCCTCCTTGATGGATCTCAACTGGAAATGAAAAAGAAAAATAAGTTACGCATAGTTAATTAACTTGTTTATGCATATTCTGGGCACAAAACATATGCTGACATGAATTCCAACGCTTTATGGCAAGAAGAAAATAAGTTGTGCAGCTAGTTTTAGGAGACACAGAGAGGACTCAGAACTGTGATAAAGCAGGCTCGGCAAGGCAAAGTTTTGCCATTACGTCCGGCGAGCGAAGTGATCATCATCGTCCTCTTTTGAATATTGCTAACAACAACAACTATAAACGTAAAAGAAAAGAACATAAATTGGTTGAAAAAGCAAGGAATTGAAGGAGAAACTCTCTCCAATGAAAGCAAATAGACAAACAAATCAACTGCTGCTATGCAATGGTGAGGAGCTAACTGGAGCAAGGTTAATATATAGGCAAAGTTTTGCTATTACGTCCGGCGAGCGAAGTGATCATCATCGTCCTCTTTAAAATGTTGGTAACAACAACTATAAATGTAAAAGAAAAGACCAGAAATTGGTTGAAAAAGCAAGGAATTGAAGGAGAAACTCTCTCCAATGAAAGCAAATATACAAACAAATCAACTGCTGCTATGCAATGGTGAGGGGCTAACTGGAGCAAGGTTAATATAAAGGCATATGAACTTTCTGAGTAGAAAATGCCTACAGGTTCTTTTTTAATGAATTCTTTGCCTTGCTTGCCAAGGGTACGTAAGAATAAGTTGACAGAAAGTGGACAAGCACTCAAGTGCTGGCGTAATACTGGCCAGGGAACGACGAATGTCATGCCTTGCTTATCAAGGCTTTTGAATAATTAGAAGACATGTGCTTTTGAATATCTTTATTGAATTAGACAATAACGGTCTGGTCTCTATCTACCTACCCCGTAACCATATTTAAAGGCAAGTTGACAACATAATGAGTTTATGAAAAAAAAAATGATGCAATTTGAAAAATCCAGATATTTATTATAAATTTATATAATTTAAATAATAAAATATCAGCTTTTGGACAAATCTTATCAAAATCATATTTTTTTCGTTATTTATAATGGTCAACCTAGTTAACGTTAATTTTTTACTACTCTTAATTTTTTTTCTGCTGTTAATTTAAAAAAAAAAACATTAAAAATGTTTTTCTTTTATTTTTCAAGAGAGATATATTTTTTCATGAGATTTCCTATAAATAAAAAAATCATTAAATTCTTCACTAAACTTTTTTTTATTTTTTGTTCTTCTTGAAAAAGAGCTTTTACTTTTTGAATATACCTTTAAAAAACTAAAAATAAAATTAGAAAAATTTAAAAAATAGTTCTTTAATTCCAATAATTTTAAATGCATATTATATATTTGAATCAATTGTAAGAATACAAAATCCTATAAAATATGTGAAGATAAAAAATATTAAATTAATACATTTATATTTAAAATTTAAAAACTGAGAATCAAAAAAATAAATTTATTGGCATGACAAAAAAAAGAGTTAAAATCAATTATTTGATCATTTTCAAATTAAACTAATAGATATTTTTATTTTATTAATTATAGAAGTTTATTATTTTAATGGATAATGATACTATATAAAAGTTTTTTTAATTAAAATTGAAAAATATATATACAAATAACAATTTAATTGACCATGAAAAATCAAAGAGATTAATATGTAAAATTTTAAATAGAAAGAATCTCTCTTAAAAAATAGAGGAAAAACATTTTTAACGTTTTTTAAAAAAAATTAACAATAGAAAAATAAATTAATAGTCAATTAGATTGACTGATACAAATAATAATAAAAATACGATTTGAATAATATTTGTCCAAAAACTAATATTTGAGGTTTCAAATTACACAAATTAATAATAAATACCTAAAATTACTAAATTATAATAAAACAAAGGTAATTTTTTCCATTAAACCCAATTTGATGGAACTAACAAAAATGACTTTTATTTTGTTCTAGTTTTAATAGGATCAAATGGGAGGACATTTTGAAATATAAAAAATATAAAAGTTTTTTTTTTTTTTTTCAAATAGTCGTTTTAGTTCTTCAACGTGTTTTTATGTGGTTATTCTTGAGTCTTTAAAATTATTTTCCAACTGCTATAAATATATATAATAAGAGGTGCAATAGGAAGATGCTTCCTACCATGCTTCCCTCCTTTTACTCCACCCAATTTTTTTCCTAACATGGTATCAAAACTAGTTCAATCTGGTAGGACATTTAAGTAATTATAGCATGTGTGTAGAAGGAAGAGAAAAATCTCAAAAGCAAATGGGTAGTATATCCAAGAGTATGTGGATGGAGAAGAGACATCCAAACAAATAATAATAATAATAATAAATAGAGGTTGAAGATAACAAAGCCAAAGAAGAGAATTGAGACCTTGCATCAAGCAGGGATGATGACTTGGTTTTTAACAATTTCGGTTAATCAAATCTATAAAATCAAAACCAAACTTGAACCCAATTACTATTCGACTTTTTTGGTTTAAAAATCAAAATTTTGACTTTTGGTTTTAGTTTTTTTTATTTAAATTAATTTTTTTTAATTTTTTCCAGATTTTTTTATCATCGTTTGGTTTTTAACAATTTTGGGTAATCAAATCTATAAAATCAAAACCAAACTTGAACGAATTTACTATTTGATTTTTTTAGTTTAAAGATCAAATTTTTTGTTTTCGGTTTTATTTTTTTGGTTTAAACTGATTTTTTTATTTTTTAAATGATCATTTGGTTTTTAAAATTTTCAATTAATCAAATCAATAAAATCAAAACCAAACTTAAACCGAATTACTATTCAATTTTTTTGGTTTAAAAATCAAAATTTTGATTTTTAGCTTTTTTTTAAATTGATTTATTTATTATTTTTTAAAGATTTTTTTTAAATACTATAAATAGATTAAAAATATCATCAATTCATCATATATCTATAATAATGTTAAAGTATTGATTTGTTTTTATTTGTATTGTTTTAAAACTTAAAAAATAAAAATAAATAAATAAATATGTTTTTTGATTCACCGAACAAAAAATTCTAAAAACCAAACCAAACTGAAAAATTAAAAATAATTTAGTTCAATTTTTTTTTTTCAAAATTTTGAGCTGAAAACCAAATTGAAATTAATATTTCAATTTGGTTTTTTTATTTAAATCGAATAGTGTTCACTCATCGAGAGAAAGAAGAAATACTAGAAGGGCTGAATGCAAGTTGACAAACCCACAAAGAGAAGATGAATAATTGCAAGAGATGGCATGGTACAATAAAATTACAAAACTCTTCCTAAAGGAGATGGAAAATGGCCAAGCAACCATGATGAAGAAGAGGCAACAACGTAGATGAAGAGCCAGCTAAATGTACATAAGGGCCACTTGAAGAATCAAATCTTGAAAGAGAATTGTTTAACCAAAGAAATGTAGTAGTAGCCACAAGAAGAGAAACATGGCTAGCTAAGAGTAGCCATGTCCAAGCAAATACAATTGCTGAAGAAAAAAATGAACGAAGACACTACCACATATTGTATATTAGGCAACGGTTGATTATGAAATTTTATTTACCAAATAGCTTGTACTCCAATAATAATCAGCTCTTGTAAAAAGTTATGGGTTTAAATGTTAACAGGTTAATTCTGTCAGGAGTCTTAAGTGTGTTAAAAAAAGTAATTAAAAAAAATTATGAAACTTTATTTCTTATAAGAGTAAGATAATATAAATGGAGAAGTTTTCCACCGTTTGTCCCTCCTCCTCTCCCTCCCAATTTGTTTTCCAACACTACTGTATGGCAACAGGCCTTAATTAGTTCGCTAATAGAATTAGGGTTTGGTAGTTATGAGCCCAGATTTTGGATATGGTAGTGGAATACAGAACCTCATGAAAGCGAAGCAAACCATCAGTTGACCATAACAATTACATAATTTTGTTATAATTTTTTTATTATCGGTAGACCATAATGCAATCATTCATTCAAGGGGCATTATTTGAAATTCCAGTGGCCAATCTAGACAAAAGAAATGGGATTGATACAATGTCCAAATCAGCTACAGAGAACCTGTCAATTGACTCATTTATTCAATCACAGAGACAGTCCAAAGTCATTGAATCTCGATTTGCCATCTGTGAAATCAAGAAATAAAGTATAATAAACTTTCTTCTTCCCCATGAATTGATCACTTTATCCATATAATAATCGGCATGCACCCATGAGATCAGTAATTTTGATTCTGTCTTCAATAAAATAAAGTAAAAAAATGCACTTCCCTATACTTAGTTTTTTTTTTCAATCACATCTAAACCAGTTCAATCCACCAATGGCTTCACTGATTTTGATCTTTACCTATGCCTAAAAATAGCCAACTCCTTGGCCCTTCCTCCTGCACTGAAATATCCAAAACAGTGAAGTTGAATCCTTTTTCAGAAACAAAACTCATTACTGCATAACAACTTGTACAAATTCAAGGGTCTCTAGCTCACCATTAATACATGATAAAACTTCAACCTACTTATGTACAGCAACACTGATGTGGCAACAAAGATTACAACAAAAATACAACACCAATCTCCTCTACAAAAGGAGAGAAAAAAGAAAGCTTACAATTATTGTTACAACAAAGAGGGAGTGGTTTCAAATGAGTCGGTATAACTCATCGGAAAGAAATGAAGAGTCGGCGAATAGGGGTGCAAGTTTGAACTCCACCTTTGTCCATCCAACATCAATATCAGGGACAGACAGGTGAATTTAGTAGGATGGAACAACACCGAATCCGTAAATACTACTCCGATCGACCTCGACGCCGGAATCAACACGTTTGGCAAACCTTCCTTTGATTCGTGGCCTTGTTTCGGCGTAGGCCTTTCGGGATGCATATCGAATTGTCTTCTCGAATTTTCTGTTCTTTCTCTTCTCCCGGTACCTTAATACCCTTGCTTCACGGTCAATTGCTGATAGTTGCACTGTCTGGTTCACGGACTCCATTCCGTTGCTCACTGATCTACTGTAAGGGTTCGATATGTCTGTCAAGGTACTGCCATCTGGTACAACTCCAACATCTAGAGATGAAGAAGAAACCTGCAGTTAAAAGCACACGAGATTAGAGGTTTGCAAATTTACAAATGCTGCTAAACTTAAAATCTCTGACAATTAGAAGATGACTTAAGTTTACGAAACCATTAAACTTTTAATTCAATGAAACATCGATCATGTACCTAGTTTTAAAGACAGCTTTTATATAATGACATCATATTTACTGCTAAACTTCGAATCTCAGCAATCGATCGCGGAGCTATCTGCTTCGAAAATCGTTAAATTCAGATAGATGAATTCCATTAATTTGACAAAATTATGGACACTACTAAACAGAAAATCTCTACTATAGATAACTTGAATCTGACAAAGTTATAGTCTCTACAAAAATATACAAAGTTGTAGTTAACAGTTGAAAACCCTAGCAGTTAAATCAAATCTCAGAAACTTCTAATGCCACTCACAGCTTCATAAACACACACACTGCTACTGCTAAATTCTCGATTTTCACTGATTCTTTTTAGGTTTTTCCGTCTCCGATCAACTTTCAGGCACTGAGACTAAGTCAGCCTCTCCAGTCAGATCAAAATCAGGCTATCCACACGGGGACTAAAGGTTCATTACTTTTAAAATTCTATAACAAACAAATCATCCAATTTAGAGAACTTACACTCTGGCTCAAGGAATTATAGCCATAGCCACCACCAAAAGATTTAGATCCAGTAGAGAAATCCAACTCAAAGCAGCAATTATTATCATTAACTAAAGCAGGAGCTTGAAACCCTAATTTGTTCCTTTGCACAGGCACCACCCCATCGGTAGTACCTGAACTATTCTGCTCTTGCACTTCCACTTTCGGATCCACGTAGGGATCCATTTCCAAATAGGGATCCATTTCTGACCCAAACACATACTTACCCGTGTTCAGATCCATACTATCCACCCCTTTAGTATTCCCCCCACCCGGGTTCGGCAACAGCCATGACTCCGCCTCTGCCTCCTCCCTACTAACATCACCACCACCACCACCATCTGCGTTAGCAAAGTAACGATCCTCCAAAAAGTTCACGGCAGCTCCACCGCCGTGCACAGCGGATGAGGATTCAAAAAGGGAGTGACAGGGACACGCTCGTGTCGACGGGCAAGAGGGTTTGCAGAGTGGATGTCACGATCACAGGTGACACAGAGCGCCGCAGCGTCAGCCTTGCAGGTGACATGGGCTGGGGCTTGTTCACAGACTTCACAGACCCAGACACGCGCGTGGCGAGAAGCGAGCTTGTTCGCTGCGTGGATTTTGGAGTCGCAGCTGATGCAGAGGAAAGCTGAGTCAGCTCGACAAAACAAGGTTGCTGTTGCCGATTTGCATGAGTCACAGAGCTTTGATGCCATTAAGGAAGACGAAGTGATTCAAGAATTGAAGCTTCTGTCTTGATGGGCTCTCTAACTTTTTTTTTTTTTTCCCCCTTGTTCTGGAGAAATTTTGAAGCATAGTTTTGTTGGGTTCTTGTATGGGTCTATCTAGTGGGACCAAGGAGATCTAAGGATTGGCCAATGGGAGATCGACATGTGGGGAGTGGCTTAGCCAAACATAAAGGATTTTGATTTTTGAATTTTTGTTTAATTTTTAAATATTATATAGCTGATAAATAAAATAATTTAAATATTATATGTATTAAATTTAGAAAGTTATCACTAAGTAAAAAATTTAGCTGATAATCATTATTAACATGTTATCTATATTACCACAAAAACTTATAGTCAATTATTATTGTTTTAAATGATATAATGAACTTTACATAGATCCTTCATATTTAAATTCGTGTGTTCACAATATTTTTTTATAATCTTTATTTAGATTTAAATTAAATATTATAACACAAGAAGTAAAATTATTTATCGTCTGAAATAATCAATTTTGGAAAGTTTTTTTTTAAAAAAAATGTTAAGTATGGGTTTGGAATTAGTTTATGCGTAGATGTAATATATGAAGTGATAACATGTTTCTAATCATTCAAATAATTATTTAGAATTATCACATGGAGTTTGATTGGATAAAAGAAAAATAGGAAAGTTTTTGTGTTTTTTAAGAAAATTGGGGACTTTCATATTGATATTGATTTTTGAGTGGGGTCCATATTGTGTATAGGTGGGGCCCACGAGAGAAAGGTTGTGTTTTCGGCTTTTTGTTGGTGTGGAGTAAAAGAACAGGCAAATGGGGAAGGAGGTTTGAATAATGGGAGTGTGGTGGGACCCAAAGGGGGGTATGGGCTAGCTGGTGTTCGAGAGGGTTCTGTTGAGATTGGGTTGGCTGGCTAACGTTGCCTTTCTTCCTATCCTAAAATATGGGCAGAAAAGAAAAATGAGTGGGTGATAGGTGGAAAATTAGGAAGGAAAAGAAATTGGTAAGACGAAAAGGTGCTTTCTTTTTTTCAGAAATGAGAAAGGAAACTGAGGGAATTAAATTCAAAGAAAAGTAAGAAAAACAAGAATTTCATTCTAGATGGATTAAAAATACATTTTAGAATGAAATTCTCGAAATGACATATTACATCACAATGGTAGCCTATATTTTGAGAGATTTTCACTAGCATAATGAAATCAAAACTTAAAATATATGAGCTAATAAAGTAACGGGATGCAAGTTGCTATTAACAAAAAGGTTTATCCTATAATTGATTCTTGTACAATTTTATTTTTTTATTTGAACCCTTTATTATTTTTCGGTTTAACCGAAACTCTCTACTCTTACAAATTTATTGATTGAGATATCCGTTATAACGCCGTTAACTATTCATACTACGTGGTATGTTAAAATAATGATAACCAATGAGACAACGACATGTGGTATAATAGGTCTCAAATATCGGTTTTGTTGTCAAAAATTAAAAAAAAAAAAGATCTAAAAATATTTTAAATATAAAGATTTTCTTCTTCACCGAACATTAAAAAAAAGAATAACTAAAAAAACAAGCTTTTTTTTTCGTTCTTTCTATGGATTAAACTAAGTTCATAAACAAATTCTATTTTCGCTTAAACTCGCCTCTCTCTCTCTCTCTCTCGTACGCCCGTTCTATCTCTCAAACATCCACCGAAACCTAGAAAGTTCTCTCTTCTCCTCCTCATCTCCTTTATCCATTCAAAACCAAGAATCTCTACCGAGATCAAAATGATCTCCCCCTTTAAGCTACTTCAACTTCATTCTCTCATAATCAAATCCCATTCCCTCACTCTCTTCGTCATTCATCTATGGTTTGTTCATCCTTTTCTCTAAAACCCGGTTCCACTCATGTGAACTTCAACGGAGATCTAACAATCTCTTCTCGTCCTTCAAACGAACATCGCTCTCCTCTCAAACCTTCCTCTTCAAACGACTCATATCCAATTCCTAACCTTGAACTCTCTCATCCCTCATCTTCCATTTGAATGATCTCAAACATGAAGAAAAATGGAGCAATTCATGTTGTATGATGACAATGACTCATCATCGGTTCTTGAACAAACCGGAGGTAGGGGATGACGAATTAAATCGAATAATGAGAGGGAAATAGAAAATGGTGAAACGATGGCAATGAGAGGGAGTTGCCTTCTGCTTGCTTTCCTTCAATTGTCCTTCGTCCAAACCCAAAAACAAATATGAACCCGGAAGATTAAGAAAAAGTTGAAGAAGAAACCCGTAAAGTTACATTTTTTAATTTTAAACATTAATTTATTATTAAGAATATTTTTAAATCTTTTTTTTTAATTTATGACAATAAGATTGATATTTGAGACTCATTATGCCACGATTCGTTGTCTTATTGATTATCGTTATTTTTAACGTGCCACATAAGATAAATAGTTAACGGTGTTATAACGGAGGGTCTCGATTAATAAATTTATAAGAATAGAGGGTTTCAATCAATCTAAAAAATAATAGAGCGTTTAAATAAAAAAAATTAGAACTGTACGGAGACCAATTATGAGGTAAACCCGATAACCAAACAACCTTGAACATTATCAACTTGCTATGTTAGTATCTTACAACACATTAAGTGCAACTGATATAGTTTCGAATAATAACGGTTAAGGAATGTAATAATTGTTATTTAATAGATTCATATATTTTTGTTTCCGTTATAGTCATTATTAAGAGGTCAACGACATTTTATAAAAACAACTATAATAGCGATATTATTATTATATAATAATGGTTGTTATTGTTGCTATTGCCATTATATATAAAAAAATCCCAAAAAAATATTAATTTTTTTCCTTTTTCTCTATCTTTATGTATAGAAAGAAATAATTAATTTTACCTCTAAAAAAAATATTTTTTTTTGCTTTCTCTCAAATTCAAACCAAAAAAGAAAATTTTTTACGAATAGGAAGGAATATAAGCAAATTTTTTTACTTATTTCAAAATTTTATTATGAAAATTTCTTTCAAATCCAAACCAAAAAAAAAAAAAAATCTTCATAATAAATTTCTAATATATATATATATATATATATATATATATATTGCTTTTATTCCTTCCTATTCATAAAAAAATTTATTTATTGGTTTGAATTTAAGACAAAGCAAAAAAAAAAAAAATTGAGGGATGAAATTAATTAATTATTTTTATACATAAATGTAGAAAAAAAGAGAAGAATTTTAAGATTTTTTTTTGAAAAATTTATTATCCCCGTATCAACATCCTATCAATCTTAAGTGAAAAATTATCGTCGCTGTCTAAAGAATTAGAAATTAAGAACAAAGAAATATGATTATTAAAAGAATTAGTAGAAGAAAATGATTAAAACAAATAAAACAATAAAAGAATATCCGGTAACTTTAATCCGATATATATTCATAGGGGCTTCAAATAGTGTAAAAACGACAAGTAAATAATATAGACAATGGTGAATTATTATCCTGATCCATTATTTCGTACCACCACCAGCCTGTTTGCGCAATTCAGGAAGTACCAACTTAACATCATCTTCTAATGCCAACTTTTGCCCTGCAGTAGACTTCATTGGCAGGTTCGTCTGTTCTTACTTTTACACAGGTATTTATCAATCTTTGTCAGTATAAAGTCAGTATAAAGAGGATAAAGTTACGAGCCAAAGAGAGGTGGAAAGCTGCTTTTCACCATTGGCTGTGAAAAATCAAACTCAGCTTCAGGGCAATTAGACGTGATGCTTAAACAGCAGCCCAATTAACTCTTAATCAAACTTTGAGATCATGAGCTTGACTCATTTCTTCTGAAAATTAAACTAAGCCAATGATTATGCTCCCCAGGGTGCAGTCTGTGTTGGTCAAATTGGCTAGCCCTGGTCTACAACTCGGGTCACAACCCACAAGCTTTCAAGAAATAGGCCTGGCTCGTTTGTTTGGAAAATCCTCTTCACAGGCAGCTAAAGCCTGTGTGTTGCTAATGAAGAATCACAGTCAAGAAGAAAACTCCATACTCAATAGACCTGCCTTCTGCAACCATGGCATGGATATGTTTGAAATACTAATTTGATAGAACCAAGGCAAAAAGCAGAAGCTAATAATGAATTGTGTTGAAGCAGTATTACAAGAAAAATACGTATTTTGGCTTCACTTTTCCCCCAAAATCATTCTGCAAGTCAGTATTTTAAGCTCCAGGTATGAAAATAAGAAATTGCGAAGTCATCTCTGCCAAGTTTGAATCAGGGATAATAACACTTATCGCTCCAGCATTTGTTTGCATGATATTATGCTCGTTCTGGAACTTGCTTGAACAAAGTTAGCCACTTCCTGACTTGAGAGCATTACTCAACCTGCGAAAGTTATTTCCCACTTAAGCATTTATGTCAAGTAATTATGGGGCACCAACTTCAGTGTCATAGAGAAAGCGATATATGGTAGCAGTATAGAGGGCGGAAACCGAGTTATGGACCATGTTTAACGAGTGAAGACAAGTAAATTGTACTTAGAATCAACGAGGCCTGAAGAGATAAAATTGTGAATCCACAGTAGCATTGTTTTTTAAACAAAAATCTGAAAAATTTCAAGATGTGAAGGCAATACGTGATGCTGGTCCCATTTTGGCAGGTCCCGGAAAGGATAGATTGGTCATGGTCCTAATCTTCACTCAAGATAAAATATGCTCCTGCCTAATGAGACTCCCATCCTTGGCAGCAAGTGTGATTTACAATGTACAAATGGGAGGGTATATGACAAAAAAATTGCTATCTACCATATGTGGAACTCTATGTACCACATCTTATTGTTTTATTTCTTCAAAACCAAGCACTACGCAATCAATCAAAATATGTAGTATCTATTAGACTTGAGTAGGTTGAAAAAGAAACATAACCTTGGCAAAATGGAGTTTTCTTATCAGGATCAACAAACAAAAATGTTTGCCATTTTAATTTTACAACATCAAATATAAACCACACTTACACTAATTCCCACAACATCTAGCTGATACCATGTATGATAAATCTAGGGATGACGATTTACCCCCACCCACGGAGTCCTGTCATGTCCAGTTCCGATCAACGTAGGGATTCTCTGAGTTGACTGAGGAACGAGATGGGATATCTCACCCTCTATTTATTTTAAATGAGGGATAGAGCGAGGATGGTATTTACCTGCTCCGTCCTGTTTGTCTTACTTTATCTTTGAAATTATAATTATATCCTAAATAAAATTTGTGATTATTGACTCTTAAGATTTATTTTTTATATGAATTTTTTTTTTTTTGCTATAGTTTAAAATTTGATAATAAAATGAGATAGGACGAGACTGAAATAAAAAATTAAATAAAACATCAATGTCCTGCGAGTATGATATGAGAAATATTATCCTACACGAGATAGGGACGGAGCAAAATTTTCAGAAGCGATGTGGGGCCGGGATGGCCCATTGCCATTCCTAGATAAACCAGTACATAATCCTTTGAATTTAAGGATACGTGCTTGTCCGGTAGTTTGTGACGAAGAATGCTTACCAGTCCAAGCCCTCAAAGAGGCCTTCCCCCTTAGTGGCGCAAGCTTTGAAGATGGCCCATTGGCGGCTTTTTATTTTGTGCAACTCCAATGCCTCGGTCACAGCAGCACCATAAAGTGCACCAGGGAGATCCTGCTCATATAAAGCAATGGTTGCAACACGTTATAAGACACTCCAATGGTTGGTTTCAGATTATAGCATGGAAAAATTATATTAAACACTTTTGGCTTGTATTGTATACACAATGTTGAGAGGATAAAGAAGCCCATCTTGGGATGATCAAATCAATTATCGGTCCCTATGTAATTATAGGAACTGCCAAAATTTCCAAATTGTGGATGATAGAGAAAATAGTCTTCACTTGCTTGTTTGCAAAAATGAGGACAACTGCACCTTTCAATTCTTCCTGCACAAAGGTCCAATTTCATAAATCAGAGATGCCATCACAGTTAATGAAAATTGGCCTGTTTTCAACTAGATATAAGCATGAAAAACATTTTCCTATCTACATAAAACACAAGATTGCAGTTCAGAATCTAACAGAGCTGACAGGCAACCAAAGATTAAAAAATAAAAATAAAAACAAATTTCTTCTCATTGAACCTGATTGATAGCTACAGTTGTCATAGTAAAGTTCAACCCATATCTGTTATGTTGCATGTTATTAAAACAAATAAAACAGTAAAAAAATATATCATGAATCTTTAATCCCACACACACACACACACACATATATATATATATGGGCTTCAAATGGTGTAAAAACGACAAGTAAATAATCTGGACAAGGGTGGATTATTATCCCGATCCATTATTTCGTACCACCACCAGCCTGTTTGCCTAACTCAGGAAGTACCAACTTGACATCATCTTCTACTGCCAACTTTTGCCCTGCAGTAGGCTTCATTGGCAGGTTCGTCTGTTCTTACTTTTTACACTGGTATTTATCAATCTTTGTCAGAATAAAGAGGATAAAGTTACGAGCCGAAGGGAGGAGGAGAGCTGCTTTCACCATTGGCTGTCAAAAATCCAACTCAGCTTCAGGGCAGTTAGACGTGATGCTTAAACTGCAGCCCAATTAACTCTTAATCACACTTTGAGCTCATGAGCTTGACTCATTTCTTCTGAAAAATTAAACTAACCCAATGATTATGCTCCCCAGGGTGCAGTCTGTGTTGGTCAAATTGGCAGCTGATGCAGAGGAAAGCTGAGTCATCTCGACTAAACAAGGATGCTGTTGCCGATTCGCATGAGTCACAGACCTTTGATGCCATTAACGAGGACGAAGAGATTCAAGACTTGAAGCTTCTGTCGTAATGGGCTCTGTAACTTTTAATTTTTCTTTCCCCTTGTTCTGGAGAAACTTTGAAGCATAGTTTTGTTGGGTTGTTGCACGGGTCTATGTAGTGGGACCAAGGAGATTTAAGGATTGGCCAATGGGAGATCGACATGTGGGGAGTGGCTTAGCCAAACATAAAGGATTTTGATTTTTGAATTTCTGTTTAATTTTTTTCTTTTTTTTAAAAAAAAACATTATTAAGGTTTTTTTTTTTTTTTTTCTATCTGTTTGCATATTACGCAATTATATATTATAAATACAAATACATATATATATATATATACAAAATGTTGATCTTATTATATGAGTCAAAATTTTGATTTGTGTTCATAATTGATATATTATTCTCGTCAAATACTACAAATAAAATAGTTTAAATATTATGTGTATTAAATGTAGAAAGTTGAATTTATCACGAAGGTAAAAAAATTAGCTGATAATCATAATTAACATGTTATCTATATTACCACAAAAATTAATAGAGTCAATTATTATTGTTTTAAATGATACAATGAGTTTTTTTATTAAAAAAAAAAAAAACTTTACATAGATCATTCATATTTAAATTCGTGTGTTCACAACAATTTCTTTTATAATCTTTATTTAGATTTAAATTAAATATTATAACGCAAGAAGTAAAATTAATTAGCGTCTGAAATAATCAATTTTCGTAAGTTTTTTTTTTAAAAAAAATGTTAAGTATGGGTTTGGAATTGGTTTATACGTAGATGTAATATATGAGGTGACACCATGTTTCTAATCATTCAAATAATTATTTAGAATTATCACATGGAGTTTGATTGGATAAAAGAAAAATAGGAAAGTTTTTGTGTTTTTTAAGAAAATTGGGGACTTTCTTTTCAGGATCAAAAACAAAAATGTTGACAATTAAGCAAGATTGCAGTTCATGATCTAACAGAGCTGACAATTAAGCAACCCAAGATTTAAAAATAAAAATAAAAATAATCTTCTTCTCATTAAACCTGATCGATAGCTACAGTTTAGTTTTCATAGTGAAGTTCAACCCATATCTGTTGTCCAGATATGTTGCATGTTGTTAAAAACGTAACCCACATAACTCCACAACCTCATACTAATAATTGTTGTTTTCAGTAAATTACATTGATAATCACCAAGTTTATGAAATGAATACAAGTAACAGTCAACAGGCTAAATCTGCTGTGTTTTGATTGTTCTCCTTTTCCAATTCTCTCGGTGTCACTTGAATCTACCACATAAATCACAGCTTGAGTATTTGGGAAATAACACCTCCAATATGGCCTGAAATAAACGTAAAAATTCATTCCCAGGGCAGGGATGAGGGAATAACAGACTACTGCATGCCAAATACCTACTACCAAGGAATCAACGTAGACACACACACAAACAAATTGAGAAAGAACTGAACATTAGTCCGCGAAGCATTTTAAGATCGTTGAAAATTAATTGATTGCATTGCCATAAGTGTACTTCTCAACAACACATATTTTTTATGCAATTCAGAAACTAAATCCACATACATTCCTACTAATAACACTATCAACAAATCATCAGCCCTGTGATCTTGGATTCGAATCCCGATTATTTTTCTTGGTGGCCACTGGAGGCTTACATAGTCGTTAACTTCGGGATCCGCAGGATTAGTCGAGATATGTGTAAACCGACCAAAAACCTGTGTTATCAAAAAAAAAAAAAAAATTGATCAACAATAACGATAGCAAATAGTTTCTACAATGTATACTAAATTTTCTTCAAAGAAGAAGGAAGAAAAGTCACCTGATACTTGTTTCTCCACCTTTATCACCAAATCATAAACCAGATTGATTTTACAAAATGAATTACTACATAAACTTAAACAGCATAACAAATTTACTACATGATCGCTATAAAAAACCTCCTTTGGTTTCATTAACCCAAAGGCAACTGAACTACAACCGAACAGCTAGTTTGCACCCTTATAGTTCGAAATCCACACACTAAGACCCTAAAGAAAAACCCTAAATATCTGATGCGCCACAGATATTGCTTAACAAGTTAATCAAAATCAAGCCCGCTTGGCTTGACCCCTTAATCACTCTACTGCACACTAGCTGTCAGTATCTCTTCATTGCATAGTAAAATCAATTGTAACAGGTTAAATCCATTACTTCATAGATTAAAATCATCTACTTACCTAAATCCCAGACTTGGAACTTAATGTTTTTATACTGCACAGTTTTCAGATGGAACCCAATTGCTACACCAGAAAAAATCAAACATGCATCAGATTAGATTAATAAATATAGAAAAAATTACAACTCAAATTCTTATTTTTCCTTAAAAAAAAAAAAAAAAAAAACTCTCTTGGGATGGTGGAGACTACCTCTCCCATTTGAATCCGATCTAAATCACAAAAAACGAAAAACACCAAAACATCAAGACTAAGTTCAAAACCCCACAAAAAATATAGCAGAAAGAAAACAGGGGAGTTGCGGAGATGGTGGTTTTTCCAGCATTGTCGAGGCTGAGAACAAGGATTCGAGCTTCTTTATTACCAAATACAGAAGAGAACATTCTACTAAACAAAATACCCGTTTATTTTATTTTATTATTATTATTATTATTATTATTTTGTTCTTCACAGTTCAAGAATTTCTTCGTACATGTCACGAATTCGATCAGTGTCGCAGGTTTTTGTTTATCGTAAGCACTGAAGCTCTCTTTATTTTTGCACCAGCAAGAAATTTCCTGGAATTTTTTGTTCAAGCCAGGGATGACTTCTCCGTTTCGAGTCTGCGTCAACTGACCGAAAGTCTTACCATTATTTCAGGCCCAAATCAGCTTAAATGAATTGGGCTCTTAGAGTTTCGTGGGCTTTGAATCTCCGGTTTCAAGCCGGCCAGATGGGCTAGCTAGTTAACCTGAATTGTTTCATGAGCGTGAGAGCCCTAATATCATTACCTGGGGCTTTTCCTAATTTTTTTTTTTTTTTTTTTTTTTTTTGTTTCCGCCCAAATTGACATATGCATTTTAAAAATTATCCGAAAAAATAAAATTAGATTCTATTATTTTCTTTCACAATGTTCAATAATATATACATTTTATTTGATAAGAGAAAAATATTTATTCAATTGAATTTTCAGATTTGATTTTTAGATGAAATGATATATTTACGTCATTGTATATTACAAATCTTATTTATGTATCTTCAACCTAGCATAATTGAAGTCAATATTTTTTAAAATATCTTCAAAAATCAGTATTTTTCATCGGATATGTTATTGGTTTATCGGTTCATCTTCTTTTCATCTTTAGTGCAGTCTATGTTGGTCAAATTGGCTAGCCCTGGTCTACAGCTCGGTTCACAACTCACAAGCTTTCAGGAAATAGACTTGGCACATTTGTTTGGAAAATCCTCTTCACAGGCAGCTAAAGCCTGCGTATTGCTAATGAAGAATCACAGTAAAGGAGAAAACTCCATACTCAACAGGCCTGCCTTCCACAACCATAAAGATGAAAAGAAGATGAATATGTTTTGGACACACTAATTCGAGAGAACAACCGAAAAAAAAGGCAGAAGCTAAAAATGTATTGTGTTGAAGCAGTATTACAAGAAAAATATGTATTTTGGCTTCTCTAATCTCCCAAATCATTCTGCAAGTCAGTATTTTAAGCTCCACATATGAAAATAAGAAATTGCAAAGTCATCCGTGCCAAGTTCGAATTGGGGATAATAATGCTAATCGCTACAGCATTTGTGTGCATGAGATTATGCTCGATCTGGAACTTGCTTGAACAAAGTTAGCCACTTCCTGACTTGAGAGTATTACTCAACCTGCAAAAGTTATTTCCCACTTAGGCATTTATGTCAAGTAGTTATGGGGCACCATACTTCAGTGCCAAAGAGAAAGCGATATATGGTGGCAGTATAGAGGGTGAAAACCGAGTTATGGACCTATGGCTACTGAGTGAGAAGACAAGTAATTAAATTGTACATGGAATCAACTACGCCTGAAGAGATAAAATTGTGAATCCACACTAGCATTGTTTATGAAGCAAAAATCTGAAAGATTTCAAGACGTGAAGGACAATATGTGATGTTGGTCCCACTTCGGCAGGAAAGGATAAATTGGTCATGGTCCTAACATTCACTCAAGATAAAGTATGCTCCTACCTAACGAAATTCCCATGCTTAGTAGAACATGTGATTCACAACGTACAAATGGGAGGGTATACCGTATGTGACAAAAAAATTGCTATCTACTGTGTGTGAAACTCTTATGTACCAAATCAGTCTTTTGTTTCATTTCTTCAAAACCAATCACTACACAATCAATCAAAATATGTAGTATCTATTAGACTTGAGTAGGTTGAAAAAGAAACATAACCTTGCAAAATGGGGTTTTCTTTTCAGGATCAAAAACAAAAATGTTTGCCACTTTAATTTTGCACCATCAATTATAAACCATAGTTTTACACTTAGTCCCACGACATCTAGGTGATATCACATATGATAAATCAGTCCATAATCCGTCAAATTTAAGGATACATGCTGTTCCAGTATTTTGTGATGAAGAATGCTTACCAGTCCAAGCCTTCAAAGAGGCCTTCGCCCTTGGTGGCACAAGCTTTGAAGATGGCCCATTGGCGACTTTTTATTTTGTGCAACTCCAATGCCTCAGTCACAGCAGCATCATCAAGTGCACCAGGGAGATCCTGCTCATAGAAAGCAATGGTTGCAACACGTTATAAGAAACTCCAATGGTTGGTGACAGATTATAGCATGAAAAAATTATATTGAACGCTTTTAGCTTGTATTGTATTCACAATGTTGAGAGGATAAAGAAGCCCATTTTGGGATGATCAAAACCAATCAATTATCGACCCCTATGTAACTCTATGAACTGCCAAATGTTATCCAAATTGTGGATGATAGAAAAAAAAGTCTTCACCTGCTTGTTTGCAAAAATGAGGACAGCTGCACCTTTCAATTCTTCCTCCTGCACAAAGGTCCAATTTCATAAATTACAGATGCCATCAGAGCTAATGAAAATTGGTATGTTTTACAATAGATGTAAGCGTGAAAAACATGTTCCTATCTACATCAAAAACAAGTTTGCAGTTCAGAATCTAACAGAGCTGACAAGCAACCGAAGATAAAAAAAAAAATTCTCATTCAATTGCTTTTAATTTTTGTGAATAAATTATTAAACCTCATTGATAGCTACAGTTTTTATAGTAGAATATCAGAGGGATGGGGAGGGGGATGATTAAATAAATTAGCAACCAATGATCCCAACAACTTGCTATCAAATACATTGCACTCCCCATGTCACAAGGCAGACAATATGAATCTGGAAGTTCAACCCATATCTGTTGTCAAGATATGTTGCATATTATTAAAAACATAACCCACCAAACCACAACCTCATACTAATAATTGTTTTCTTTGGCATATTACATCGATAATCTCCAAGTTTATGAAATAAATATAAGTACCAAATCAAGAGACTAAAACTGCTGTGTTTTGATTGTTATCCTTTTTCCATTTCCGCAAGCAATCAAGTCATCCACTACATTGAAATTGAAGTGGACAACCTAGACCAACGACTATATATGGAAGAATGTGAACAAACGTTACCAACTAATCTTGCATTTAAATCTCTCAAAGTTAAAAATGCAAGACGACAGGCTACTTGAAGAGGGAAAGCTGTAACAGCATCCTGGTACTCTACAAACTAATGACATACTACTTAAATACCTCCAAAATTGAATGAAATTCTTCTTTGGCTATTCCAATTCTCTCGGTGTCACTTGAATCTACCACATAAATTACAGCTTGAGTATTTGGGAAATAACACCTCCAATATGGCCTGAAATAAACATAAAAATTTATTCACAGGGCAGCATGAGGGATTAACAGACTATTGCATGCCACATATCTACTACCAAGATGCACACAAACAACTTGAGAAAGAACTGAACATAAGTCCACAAAGGATTTTAAGATCATCGAAAATTAATTGATTGCATTGCCATAATTGTACTCCTCAACAACACATATATTCTTTATGCAATACAGAAACTAAATCCACATACGTTCCTACTAAGAACACTGATCAACAGCAACAATGGCAAATAATTTCTACAACGTATACTAAATTTTCTTCAAAGAAGGAAGAAAAGTTACCTGATGCTTGTTTGTCCACCTGTATCACCAAACCATAAACCAGATTAATTTTACAAAATGAATTACTACATAAACTTAAACAGCATAACAAATTTACTACAAGATCGCTATAAAAAAATCTCCTTTGGTTGCATTAACCCAAAGGCAACTAAACTTGAACTGAACAGCTAATTGGCACCCTTATAGTTCAAAATCCACACACTAAGACCCTAAAGAAAACTAAATATCCGATGCGCCACAAATATTGCTTAACAGGTTAATCAAAATCAAGCCCGCTTGGCTTGACCCCTTAATCACTCTACTGCACACAATCTGTCAGTATCTCTTCATTACATAGTAAAATGAATTGTAACAGATCAATCCATTACTTCATAGATTAAAATCATTTACTTACCTAAATCCCAGACTTGGAACTTAATGTTGTTATACTGTACAGTTTCCACATTGAACCCAATTGCTACACCACAAAAAATCAAACGTGCATCAGATTAGATTCATAAATATAGAAAAAATTATAGAAATAAAACACAATTTCCAACTCAAATTCTAAAAAATAAAAAACTCACTTGGGATGGTGGAGACTACCTCTCCCATTTGAAGCCGATCTAAATCACAGAAAACGAAAAACACCAAAACATCAAGACTAAGTAAAAGTAGAAAACCCCACAAAAATATAGCAGAAAGAAAGCGGGGGAATTACAGAGAATGGTGGTTTTGCCAGCATTGTCGAGGCCGAGAACAAGAATTCGAGCTTCTTTATTACCAAATACAGAGGAGAACATTCTACTAAACAAAAGACCCATTTTTTTTTCTGTTCTTCACAGTTCGAAAATTTCTTTGTACATATCACGAATTCGATCAGTTTTGCAGGTTTTTGTTCGTCGCAAACACTGAAGATCTCTTCCTTTATTTTTGCACATGCAGGAAATTTTGCAAGAATCTTTTGTTCAAGCCAGTGAAGACTTCGCTGTTTCGGTCTGTCTACTGGCAGACCATCTTTCCGTTTTCTGGCCCAGATCAGCTTAAATCAATTGGGCTCATAGAGTTTTGCTGGCTTTGAACCTCTGGTTTTAAGCAGGCTAGATGGGCTTTCTAGTTAATGAATTGTTTCATGAGTGAGGGAGCCCAAATATGATTAAATGGGATTTTTTTCCTTTTTTTTTTTTTTTTTGTTCAGCCGACTTTATAAAATTTTTTTATCGTGAAATTAAAAAGAAAGAAAAGCTTCCGTGCATCAAAATTAGATTCTTCTTTGTTTGACACCTAAATTGTTAGGTTTAAAACTAATTCTTTTATTTTTTAATTTTTTTTTTAATCTAGTGTAAAATCAGATTAAGAAAACTTAACTAGCCAATAAGAAATTGGTAAGAAGTTCAACAAATACTAGTCGGCTTCTAACGCTATGCTACAGAGAAAACAAAATATATTTATTTTGATTTGATGATCTGTGTTATATTGTTGGTCAACTAAAATATATAAGATTAAAAAAAATCATCTAATTTTATAATTTTTAATCAAAATTTTATATGTAATTTATTATTTTTTGTGTTTGTCATAAATTTTGTAGTTAAAAAACAAAATACTTATTGTTTAAAATTAATATCTTCAACTTGTCATCTCTTATAGAAATTCTCATCAAATAATTTTTATTCTTTTCATGTGATTTTATTTATTAATAAACATGATTTTTTTCTCTCGTATATAGATTATTGAATAATTTTTTAAATAAATAAATAAATAATCAATTAAAAATTAGAATTTACATGTTTTATTTGCTTATTTTTATATATAATCAAGATATATCAAAAATAATTTTGTAATTGCTTTTATTACAAGTATATTATCTTCAATATATTATTTACAATTAATTTTTTTAAAATATATATATATATTTTAATTGATATTGCATAAACCGACTCACTAAGTATGATGATGATATGTAAAAATAAAAAACAATTAAGATTATTGATTTTATTAAAAATTAACTATGCATCTACACATATAACACAAACCATTTACTATTAATTTTTTAAAATATTCTAAAATTAATTTCATAATTTTAACAATAAGTTTGTATTTAATCTTTTTTTTTATGTTTTCATAAATTTTGCAAGTAAAAAAACACGATTTATTCTTCTTTATGCATCCATTTTTAAATAAAAAATTAATATAAATTTAAAAATATGTTAATTTTTTTTTCATAAGATTGCTTCGAAGAAATAAAAAATCATATAAAAATTATGCTAATGAGAATATTAACTTTTTAAAAATATATAAATTTGATTTATAAATTTTTATTTAAAATTACTAAAATAATATTAGTATAAAAAATATTTTTGAATTGTTTGGTGGTTCTTCTAAAATACTATTTTAATATTTTATTTAAAATAAATTAATTTTAGAATATTAAAAAAATAGCAAATAGTTTGTGCTTTCTAATAAAACCTATGATTCTTATTTTTTATTTTTTTGTATATATATCTTGACTATACTTAGTAGATCAGAATATGCAATATAAATAGAAAAATAATTAAAAAATTTAAATTGCAAGAATATATTGAAGTTAATAGACTACAATAAAAATAATTATAAAATTTATTCCGATAAATTTTGACTATATAAAGAATAAGCATATTAAAAACATGAATTTATTTTTTAATTGATTACTTATTTTTATGTTTAAAAATTATTCAAACATTCAAAAAAATAAATTATATTTATTAACAAATAAAATTATGTAAAAAATTAATTTGATGAGAATTTTCATATGAAATAGCAAATTAAAGAGATCAATTTAAATGATAAAAGTAATATAATCCGATATATATTTTCATTCTAAAATCTAAAAACATATCGTATATATTTCATAATTGCTAGCTCTGTATGGACAATTGAAAAAATTAACAATTGATTTTTTATAATTTTCACACCCAATTCAATAATTTAAAAAATAAAAATAAATTGCTGAAAAAAAAATAAAAAAAAGGGAAGCATTAGTGCTTGGCCATCTAGGGACCAAAAATACTTTTTGAAAATATCGAAACTAAAATGAAATCCAATGTCAATTTTGCATGAGAATGTCAAAAAAAAGTTTAAAAATAACAAAAATATCACTCGTATACTAAAAATGAATAGTGCAAACGAGTCTTGATAAATAATGCACATGAGTATTAGTGAATAGTATTTGAATAGTAACACATTTCAAATCTTTTAGGTTTTTTTTTTTTATATGATATCTAGTAGCTCCAACATAATTGAAGTAAAATTTCTTAAAATATTAGTTAAATATATTTATATGTCCTTGTATGATCCTTAAAATCTCACATGTCTTTAAGTTTTTAACCGCATTTTATTTGTTTTTAAAAGTTTTTTAAATATTCAATTTGTCATTTCTATCAATTTTTTGGACCGAATAATGTTTTTACTTGAAATGCACCTAACCGAAATGTACCGAAATAGAATATTTATGCCATGAGACTCGTAAGGGATTTTTTTTAAAAAAAAATGGCATCTTGGTAAAAAAATTCCATGGTAGAAAAATTTAATCAAAATGATAGATTGAAAAATTCAAAACAAATTTTAAAAATAAATAGAATGTAATTAAAAACTTTGAGACATATTAATTTTTTGAGTATTATATAAAACATATATATATATTTACCTTAAAATATCATAAAAAAAATGTAGTGTCTTTTTTGAATATGTTATCGATTTATCTATTTAACATACATTGGTGATGAGCATATGATGCAAAAGATGAAAAATGGCTTGGACATTACTTATATGTACAATCAACTAGATCAGCTCAACAAAGGCACATTAGAAGACAACTATGATCAAAACATTCTTCTTGATTTAAGGAAGAATTTATTTGAAGAAGCAAAGATCTAAATTTTGACAAAAAATAAAAATAAAAAACCGCCACCCAAATACGGAACTTCCACTTAACTTTACTTGCTTCTCACCTTTCCTTTGCTTGGTCAGTAAGACATGTCCTGTACAGAGATTGGCAAGATTTCTTCTAATCATAACAAAAAATGTCTAAAAATATCATTTATTTTCTATTTATATTTAAAATTATCTCTAACCAATGTTTATTTTTTGCAAATAATTTATAATCTTTTTAATCTGCGTAAAACGTCGTATAAAACAATTTTAAGGGAAAAAAAAACTGTCCATTAAAAAAATCAGAGCTGTTAATTACCATTTATTATCAAACGCGTCTTCGCATCGCCGCGCGCAGACAGACAGCCCAGCTGTTAAAGCTCGGACGTTGCTTTCCAGCGGCCACAGTGCAATGAGAGAGCAACACGTGTCTGCTGTTTGCATCCCAAGAAAGTAACCGAAGCCGTGCTGCCCTCATCTTTCTCGTGTCCTCTTTTAAAAGCCTGCCCGTACACGCTGCCACCTGTCAGGAAAATTCACTGATTTCTCCTGACCAAAGAGTTTGTATAGTGAAACGCAAATGCAAGATAGGTTATTAGATCATGTAATTACTCCAATATCTATCTCTAATCACCACATGTTTTAAATTTAGTATAGTAATTATTAATTAATGATAGAAGTTTTATACTCGTTTTTTCGTAGAAACTGATTATTCGAAAATATTTTTTAATAATAAAAACAATTAAGTGTAATGTACCTTTAAATTGCTATAAAAATATAATTTTTCATCTATTCAAATATAGTTAATTTTTTCCTAAGATCTAACCGAAAGATATTTAAATAAGGTGCATGAAATTGACTCGAAAAAAAATTTTAATATGTTGCATTAATAAGAAATTTTAAAAATATTATCAATACTTATTTTATAGATTTATTTTGAAAAAAAAACAGATATAAATAGAAAAAAATCTCATCCGACCCATTAAAAATAATAACAATATTTTCACCTAGGCTCTTGTATTTTTGTTTGATTTTTTTTTTCAAATTAAATAAATATCGATAGTTAGTCATAGATGAATATCATTTTTCGTATCAACTAATCTATTACAATAATAAAAAAAAAAAACTATCCTGTGATTAATTATGCAACATTTTTAAAACAAGATTGTGATTTCTAGTTTCCACAGAAAGTTAATGTCTAAAAAACTAGGACGATGAAAGTAATTTTTAAGCAAAAAAATGATACAAAAATGCCAGCAAAATGATTAAAAACCCATATATTTTGGCACTGACATTGAGGAGCACAAATTTCATGAACAATCGGTGGATTTATTAACGTGAGCAGTGGAAATAGTACAATGTACTATATTATTTCTGGTCATTGTACTTCACCGGTAATCTGTTCCTTGGAATTTTCCGACAGCCAAATTAATTAGAAAGAACATATTTAAGAATATAACTTGAAGAGTTGTATCTTTTTTCACTTTATTCTCCATTAGAACTTTTTTTACAACTGAATTAACAATACAAAAGATGATTCTTGAAGTATCATATTCATGATTCATGATATATTAAAAAATTAATTACCTTTTAAAAAAATTTAAAGCACAGTAACCCACTTCAATTTGCATGTTTGAAGCACAAAAAATTGGCAATTAATGGCTGTAAAAATGAATCAAAGATATTGGAAAAAGTAATTAATTACATGACGAAAATTATGATTAATTACTAAGCATGTTTTTTAGCTGTAAAGAAGAGAAGTTCTTCTACTTCAATAAGTATTTCATCTCAGCAAAATTTACACTTCCCGAAGTACTGCAAGAACAGAAACAAAGCCCAGAACCCAAAACATCAAAAACCAAGAAAGGGATAAAAAAGGGGGAATAAAAGCAAGAAAATTCCCCGAAAAAACACTATTTTGCTCTCCAAAATTGAATTTATTTCCTGCTCATTGCAGCTTAATTTTGTTCTTCTTGGACTTGTTGTTGGTTCTCTTGTGTCTCTGTGTTTTCCTCATCAAGTGTTGTTCTTGCTTGATCATGACTGTCACCAGCCGTTTCTTGATTTTTCACCTTGTCGTGATCACCAGTAGCCTCTGTCTTCTCTTCTTCTTGGTTATCACTTTCGGCTACAAAGGAAGAAACTTTACTGCAAGCAGGAGTGGCTAAAAATGTTGGCTTTTCATTTCCAGCCATAATAACCAAAAACTTCTCTTCATAAACCCTATGCTCTGCCTTCCCTGAATTACTTCCTTCCTTTTCATTTCCGCTTTCAAGATCTCTTTGATCATTACCTTCATTTTCACTGTCTAAACGACCAGAAAGTCTCCAGTAAGAGCAAGCCAAGATTAGTAAAGCAAAAGCAATCAAGCCCAACATAGCCGCTAGACCTCCAAAGAGGTATGGCACTGGTGAGTGCCATGGTGAGCGAGGTTGGGCTGTTGCTGGTGGTGTTGTTGATGGTGAAGTGGCTGCTGCTGCTGCCTTTGTCGTGCTCATGGTGGTGCCGAGGTGGCTGATGGGTCTCATTTTTTCTTTAATGTTTTTTTAAAATTTTCTATCTTTTGCTTGTTTTTTAATTTAGAGAGGCTTTGGTTAGGAGGCAGAGAAGAAAGCGTGTAAAGTTTGAGAAATGGGGAAGGTAGGGCGGTGCTATTTATAAGCGGGGAGTTAGAGAGGAAGAGTTGGGTTTGTGCTTTCCCTAAACTACAGTTTAATCCCTATAGATCTATCAATATTCCATTTTGGTTTTTTATATTAAAATTTTCTGATACCAATCTTGTACTTATTGCAAAAATGTTTTCAATACACAATTATGGTTAGCCTAACAATTTTGTATCTCAGAAATTTTTTTATAAACAAGATTCGAACCCGAGTTACTATCAAACCTCCTAATCCTAATGAACATTAATAAAACGGTAAACATTTTTGGATTTGTTTTTTAATTTGAAAGATATATATATATACATTTGGAAGGAAAAAAAGCAGAGAAAAAAATAAATAAGAAAAAATAGATAATTTGCTAGGTTTGTTTAGATATTTAATGGTTGACATGCAATTAACAATGAAAACTTTAAACTACAACGATTGAGATAGAATATTTCTACATCTATAGGGGCTAAATTTTTCTTTTGGGCTTTGGGGAGTCATGATTGGGCCCACTTTGGGGACACTTTTTCATGTGTATATGTGATGTATGTTATGTATGGATGGAGATGGGAGGGAGTCGCCTTGAAACATAACCCTGTGTGTCAGGTTGCTGTTTGTTTCCAATGGGTGCCTTTGTGGGGCCTTGGGGTAATTTAGGGTGGACCCTACAGATCCGGTTGCAATGACATGAGAGGGCATTACTGCTCCCATGATGATCTTTAATTTGATCAGAATATAGTGATTTATTACATAAATAAGGTTCCTTTTCCTTTTTAGTAAAATAGTACTAATCATCTTCATATTCTAAAATCTATGACTCATCATCTTACAAGATAAACATTCTTCTCGAATCATTTAGGTTTAGGAAAATTTCACATCTTAGTTTCTCATTCCGATTATTTGATCCCTGCTTCTTCTTTTTTCAAAAAAAAGTTAAATTTATATCGTACAAATAAGATTGATGTAAATAAAGTTTAAATCAATATCTCTACGATCTAATATTTAATAAAATTTCAAATCTTAAATGCCATGATTTAACGGAGTTTTTATTTAATCATTATGTAATTTACAGGATTTTGAGTTATATAACACGATGGTTTCTCAATCTTAGAATAAATAATCGTAGCAAAAAGAAAAATTATAATTGTTTTAAGAAAAAAAAACATTTCAACTCGTATAAAATTAGAAAATCTATATATGATTTGTAATGAAAAAAATATATTTTTTAATAATTTTATCATTTTCACCAATGGCCATTTAATTTGGGACTCAAGGTGTAGTAGTTTTTTCTACTTCTTCTTTTTCTTAAATCCCTCCTGTTTAATAAAAATATGAAAGAAATTTGAATTCAAATAATTTGATATCATATTGAGTGATTTTTTACCATCTAAACTAGCTAGCATCCATAGTTTAATGGAGAATAATTCATATTCTTAGAACAATGTTTTATCCACAAATGTAACTTCAAATCAAAACCCAACTAGCATTGACATCTATAGGATCGAATAGATAATTAATCCAACATTCTCATAGATTTCACAAGGAAAACAATTGATTTGACATGATACCGTCATGGGTTTTAACACGTTACCCTATTCGTGATTATGAAATAATATTCTTAATTATGCATGGATCATTTTGTATTATATATGAACTAGATATTCTTCTACTATGTTAGTAACGTCTGTAAATTGACATAATCTTAATGGATCCTCTGTTTTTTTATGAAAGGACATGTTGTTCTTCTTTGTTGATGATTAAAGGTTTTACTTTGTGTTTTAAAGTTGTGATTTGTTCATAGAATGTTGCTTTCAAAAGATGAGATGAAATCATCCCAAAATGTTTTTTTTTTTTGGAGTATAAATATAATGATAGAATAAAATTATAAATTAGTTTATTTAGTTTTGCAAAACGAATTAAATAATCTATTTAGTTCAAACACTAATTAATTAGTTCATTCCATCCATTTAAATCATTTTTTCAGTTTATTTGTTTTTTAAGAAATATAAATTAGTATTAAATTAAGTATGATTATCACTGGTTAAAGAATATTAATTAATTAGTTTTTAAAACTAAGAGAAATATTTAATTTATTTTGAAAAAATAAAAGGACTAGCTTATATTTTTCTCTATAATTATAATCGAGAAATTACTTAAACTCGAATCTTAATTTACTTTACTGAAAGAAACTGCTGAATACAATCATTAATTTAAATCTACTTATTTATTGGTAACTATTAGACTAAACCTACTCGTTTATCGATAATATTGTAATGTTCAAGTATGGCAAATATTTGATTTTAACCGGTTTAACATTATTAGATGCATAGCATCTCATGTTACGGATCCAAAAAACTACTTGAAAACAAATGAGAAACTATATCTTAAGGGAATGTTCTGATGATTAAAAAGATTTCCTCACTTTCTTAACTTTTTACGTCTATACCTTGGAAAGAGCATCTTCCAATGCATTAGATCGATGAGGGAGATGTATCGTTAATATTATTGAGAAAGAAACTTAATATCAATTGATAGCCAAACTGGCTCAAAATACTTTATTGTTGAAAAAAAGAAATTATAATGTGAACATGTTATTATCCTTAATATCTATACCATCCTGATTCGGTTTCTTTGTCACAACTTTTTTTTCTTCACTATTTGAATTCATGATCTCTATTTAAACGTTAAATTATAAAATTCTCTTTTTGAACTTGAGCGAAAAAAAAAAAAAAAAAAAAAAAAAAAAAAACGTTTGTGAACTTTTTTGTTTTACCTTCCAAATTAACAATATGAGATTTGCCCATTCGGTTAGCGTTGTGTTGAGAAATTAATGAAAAACCCCATAAAAATCTATCCAATTCCTATCCTTTCTACCAACTTCGAGAAACATGTTTACTAATAGATTAAAAAAAAAGAACTGAGAGGATTTCTAAGGGCTTTTCAATCAATTTCTCAATGAAATACTAAGAGAATGAATAAATTCAAAAAATCATAGTATTTAAGGGAAAAAAATTAGAGATTTTTTTAGTTGAAAGGGTATTCATTTTTTCGCTCAAATTAAGAAGGTATTTTAATATTTAACTCTTAAAAAATTTTTGATGACTAATTTAATGGATCGATTACTTTTTATATTGATCAAAGTATTTTTAGATAAATTTTCACAAATTAAAATTAAATTCAGATCAAGTTTTCTAAAAAATCATTCGCATTCAAATAAATAAATAAAATATATATATTTGCAAACTCATATTTAATTCCAAATAGAGGAAAGTAGAAAAAAGATAGTTTAGTTTGGTTGTTATTAATTTTTTTTTATAAAAGTTATCCTTTATGCAGGTTCTGTTAGAATAATAACTAGATATGATTATGTGTTTCCTTTAGATATGAGGTAGTTATTGTTCTGTTCGATAAATTGATTTATCTCTTTAGGGGTTTAGGTTTTCTTGTCTTCAAAAAATGTGGATTAGGCTGATTTTTCTCCTTATTTGTTTTTCACGTTTGATTAATAAATTTCCAGGATTCTATCTCTGTTCCCAAAAAGAAAAAAAAAATGGTACCAGCTACAAGGCTATGGCTTCCTAGAAAACAAGAACAATCACTCTTTTGGTGATAATGGGTTTAAGAAAACCCTAAGCAACAGTAATTTCATAACCTTCGTTGTTACAAAATAGATAGCAAGGTTATGCTTCCAAACCTCCACTAACAATGCAAATCTACGAGAAATTATGTTTATGTTTGATGCAATATCATCACCATTTGTTTTTAGCCTGCAATAATGTTACCATGCACTTTGAAACTACTGATCACTTTAGCCATCTTTGGAGAGTCACTTGCCCGTCTACTTGGGGTCCATGCATCTCTTTAGGCCACAGTGAAAACGCACTGAAGTTTTGGTGTGATGAGATGTGTGCATCAAGAGGGAGACCATAATCATGAAGTGAAGATGAAATGGAGGGTAAAGTGGCAACAATTGCTTGTGACTTTCTTTTGTTTTATCATTTGCTTTGTGATTGATTTGATCCATTTGCCTTCTCTGTGAAAATGATACACCATGTTCAAAAAAAGTCTGCCCCATCCTACACTCCCACGAAGAAATGATGCACTTTTAGATTATTATTTTTTTCTGTTACTGTTGATCCTTCGTGAGGAAGATAAGCCCTTGTCCCTTGATTGGCTAAGGTTTGGTACTTTTGGGTTAGACTTTCTTAATGAAGTGATTGAGATAGAATTATATGCTATATGTATAACAAGTTGTTAACGCTGCTATATGTATAACAAGTTGTTAACGCAATGCAAATAGGCAAAATCAACTCATTGTATAGAATTCGCCAAAAATCTGGAGTTGCTTGTTGACTAATGTATATATGAAATAAAAACCCCTGAGATTATCGTTCAAATTTTAAGTTTTTTCTTTCACGAATTTATCAATCCATTTTATTTTATTTTTTTCTTGGGGGCTTCTAGTCGAGTTTATAAATTCCATTTTGATTGACAATCGCATAAATTGGCTATATATTTATTTGAAATTTATTTTTTAAGGTTGGTATCTTCATCTCGTCTTTATATAATACGTCAATTTTTTAATTTATTTTTTTAAAAAAAATATTTTCAATCTATTTTTATATTTTAAAATTGTTTCTAATCTATTTTTCTGATCAAAATTTCCAACCAATTTTTAAAATTAATTTCATATTAATAAATATAGATCACTTGTATCAAATAACAAAAATAATTTTATCAAATCATATGCTTAATTTAACTTAATTTAGCCAAAAATTTTAATTAAAATAATAAATTAGAAACTAGCTCAAAATATAAAGATTTATTAAAGGCTTTTTTTCAAAAAAAATAAAAATAAAATCAGATTGAAAAATTAGAAT